TGGCATATTAGCAACTCCAGTTGTTACGTATATTTCTGATCTGACGAGGAGAAGGACTCTGACATTAGGTGTAGTGGTAAGAAAAGCGGCATCTCCCAGACCTCCCCGGTAATCTCAACTCTGCGGTCTTTTAGGTTGTCCTGTCACTCGGCGCATCGTGGATTACTCGAATAGTTGGACTGGCTAGTGCAACAGGCGATAGCTATGGATCAGTGCCTTTCCTCTGCCTGGCATTTGCTGTTGTGTTGTGGAGTTCCTTCCAGTCCCCAAGTTGGCCGATGATGGACACACATGTGTTGATGACGCTGCATCCAAAACAGCACTTTTATTCTCGGCATCGGTTATGGGCCGCTGTTGGTTGTGGAACTGCGAATCTGATGGCTGGTTTGCTGTCAGACAAGATGGGTACGTATAACCAGTTCTTCAACACTAAACTGCGTTGTCTCATCGCTCTTTCGCACTAGGCGATCACTACGTCGTAATATGGATTCTCTCAACAGTTTTCCTGGCCCTCTTCACCTTCATATTATGGTTACAACCACCAGTCGCCGGCGACATTGAACCCAGTAGAAAAGGACCAGGTAGAAGCAAATCATCAGCCTCTTCTCTCATCAGCATGGACTCCAGTGGCAAGACCAAATCATCAGCAAACGTTCGATCGTCACCACTGACTTGGAAGTGGTTGTGGAAGATGTCGAATCTGATTTTCTATCTCTCCATTTTCATGGTCGGAATGACCTTTTCCGTTATCGGATCCTTTGCGTGGATTTATATGCGGAAGGAGCTTAATGCTCCATCTCAGTTGATTGGAATATCTGGAATCTTTAGCGTTGCGTGTGAGCTTCCGTTCTTCTTTTTTGGAGATAAGGTGGGGTCGCTAGTATCAAAATGGCATCTTGTGATAAAGTAATCTGACATAATTGAAATATCTTTTAGATTTTGAAAATCTGCGGAGCCAAATCATTAATCCTCGTGGCTCACGCTGCGCTAGTCTTACGACTTGTGGCATACTGTCTACTACAAGCTGGACCTACGATATGGCTTTTCTTACCAATTGAACTTCTACACGGTCTAGCATTCGCAACCGTAAGGCATTCTCCTAGCTCAACGATAGGTCGCCAATTCCAACCTGCTTGTTTTCGCTAGGTCTGGACAGCTTCAGTTCATTTCGCATCCCACATAGCACCCGTAGAATTCGTTTCCACATCGCAGGGGTTAATGAATGTCGCATTTGGAGGTTTCGGTTCCGTCATTGGGGCTCTCCTTGGTGGCATAGTATACAACAAATACAATGGAAAGGTGCTGTTTGCTTCAACAGCAGTCGCATTGAGCCTTTCAGCCATCATGTTTCTGATATTTGGGAAAGAAGAGACGTTCGAAACGGGCGCTGAAGAAGGTACTGATTCGAAACAACCATCACAGGATGATCTTCATCATCAGAGACATGATTCGTCGTCGTCTGCCGCAATACACGTTTTAGACACTGAGCCAAGGGAGACTCCACCTGATACACCAAATATTCGAGCAAGTCGGCTTAAGAAGTTTGCATCGAGTGCACAGTCGCTTGGCCTCCATATAGACAGAAGCATTGAAGATCTCTGAGTTTTAGCTAAAACCTCGCTTTTCCTGTAAACTAGTTTCATCGACACAAACATTTTAATGCTTTATTTTTGAGATACCATTACTTAATAGACTATTACACCTCTTACAACTTTGGACCAGCAGAACTCTTGCTTCCATCTGGTACCAGACTCAATTTGCAGCCTGATGCTTTTGAAGGGTCTAGTGTTTGAGCACTACCAGCTGATGTCGTGAACACAATTTCGAATAAACCTTCTCCTTTAGATTTAAGATGTTCCTGTGCCTGTTTGTCCTCTTTAGCGGCCTGTACGATGGTCACGTATGTGCCTTTTAATAGGTATGTAGCCGATGTGAGGGTCTTTTGGATTAAGGGTGCTGGAGACAGGAAGGCAGCCCATAAGAATAACGAGTCGTTGACTGATTTCACTAGAATCTATACATGAAAAGTGTCAGCTTTAGCATACTAGGTCCAACATGCTACACGAAAGCGACACATACCTTAATCTCACGAACACCCGTAACCCCATTCCTATGCGCATCCTTCTCAGCAGCCGGAACCCTCCACTCCCTCGGCGACACATCACCGCACATGAACGGCAGCCCAAGCTTCCTCTCTTTCAGCTGTGCAAGCTCCCACTGCAGCACCTTCCCATCTGGACGCGTCCTTCCACCAGACACAGGCGCATTATACAGATTGATGCTCTTTGACTGAAGCTCTTTAACACATTCGGTAGCAGATGATGGCAAGATTGCCCAGTCAATGAACCCGTAGGAGAACTTGTTCCATCCGTGAGATGGATCGGGTTTGAGAAAGGCAATTAGTTCAATGTAGGTTGTGTCGGAGAAGCTTATGAGGGCGCTGTAGGTGGTGAAGGTCTGTGTGAGTGTAGTGGACCAACAGTAGGAAGTGCGAAGGTGTGTACTTGTGAGTGATTCCACCGGCGTGCGAACCACCTTTGTTTACAGTGAATCCAAGAGCAGTGAATGAGGCAATGGCATCGTCCAAGTCCTTGACTTTTATTACCAAGTGGTCAACTTGTTGGATAGGCATGTCTACGTAGATTTGGTCGAATAGATGTTAGGACTTCAGTTTAAAGACAATCGTTTAGCATGCATTTCGACCGTGATTTGGTCGAATAGGAGTTAGAACTACATGCTAATGCATTTTATTATGTTCTGTATCTTTATACCCACTTTTTTTGTCGATCAGAAATTCAACGGCAGCTCAGAGAAACACCTATTACTTGCTATTCAGAGTATAAGTCAGTTCGAGAATGAACAGCCAATCAAGTACTAGACCACCTTCAAGCCTACCTCCCAAAGCTCACCCTCTGGATTTCTCACAAGTAGGTTTCTGCAAAGTTTGGAGAAGGAGGCGGATGGGAGTGTGTATGTGGTAGATTAGATCAGATGGATCGTGTTTGCTTCTTGTACTTTTTATATCCTCTTTCAATTTCTCATTTTGCCGGCTGAAGCTTCCAAACTGGCCAACATTTGAAGCCAAATTGCCACATCATCTTCCCCTCGACTAACATACCATTTTGTTTTTAATCCAGCTACCCATTAAAGACGCATTCGCAAATCTAAACCGTATTCAAAGCAACCTGACACCCGAACAATTGACTCAACTCAAATACCAAGCATTGAGGCAATATCGAACCAGGAATATTGGTGTTGGGTTGGGCTTGTTGGGTTTTTGTGTCGGTGCTTGTGAGTTTTCATACTATACGAGTCTCGTCTTGTTTTCGCCATTGCTGTTTTCTAACCCATCTCTAATGCTAGTCGGCTACTCAATGTGGAAGACTCGAATCGACGATTTTGATGCGGTCCCACAACCGAAATCTACATGAGTTTTCATTTGTTATGGATCATATTGTTTCATAGTTTGCATATTTAGGAAGAAGTGTCTTGGTACAAAGAATAGAACAAGAATTTGGAAGGAATAGCATCGTGGTTTTAACGGTTGTGCAAAGCAACCAAGTTAGAAACTTGGAAAGAGTAAGAACATCGAGGAACGCTTGGCTTGGTAAACACCTCAAGAACAACGGAGAGCTCATTTTACGTGAACAACCACTTCAAGGAGAACGAACACATTGAAGACGGAGAGAGACAAGCCCAAGATAAACCATGCTGCTCGCTGCTCTATCGTATTTCATCTGGCTTGTAACAGCTTCATTGGCTGCTACAACCCACAACACTACTGACATCATATTCACATCTCAAACATCATTGAATGTCACCGAATACACTCGTGAAAGTCGAGACTCTACGACCTGCTCGAATCTTACAAATGTCATCGTAATTGATTCAACTAGTTTCATACCACTTTTTTTCTGCTCTCAAAATCTCACACCTCGTGCACTTTACATTTTTAGCTCTCCATCAAAAACCAAACATGGACGCGAAGGGTATCAGGCGATACAAACTCTCTCGAACATCCAGATCCATTCCATTCAGATGGCAACTATCGTTTTGTGGAAGTTGTTGATACGGATATCCCATTGGTCAAGTTCTCTGTCAATGCAAATATAGGCCTTAACTCTACATCGCCTGATGCAGACGTACGTAAGGTGGTTTGTGCTGGATATCAGTTGAGCGGAAACAAGGTGGTGCTTCAGATGAATTCTACAGAGTACGTAACGTGATGTTAATGACGAAGCGGTAGTAATTTGTAGCTGTGTTTTTTTTTGTTGTCGTGCCTGAGCATATCTAACACCATTTCTTACACTCAACAGGTACACTACATGTCCAATCCGCTTTGAGAACTTTGAAGGCCGATGTAATCGCTTCAACTATTGGATTGGCACAGCAGCAAGCAGTAACAACAGCCTTCCACATAATGATACTCAAAATGGAGGTTTGGGTGGTGGTGGTAATCGTGACAATGCCTCGCAATCTGCTGCTATTGCTGTAATGGTTGAAAGGACGTGGTTGGCTATGCTCGTGGTTGCTGGTGTCATAATCGTTTGAGCATATAAAGCAACGAGGTCGTTTGTATTCTGAGAAACTACATACTGCATACTTTCATATATATCTTCAAAATTTGCTTGTACTAGTTGGTTATGCTACAGCAATGTGGGTTTGATAATTTCCTCTTGGGAAGTCTTGGGCGCGTCTTTGTCAACCACAACAGATAGTAGGCATTCAAAGTCAACATTCGTGTCGTGTAATCGACCCCAGCACTTATGCGCGTAATTGAAGGGCGTTTTGCATTCAGAAGGCAATGTTGCAATGCAACATCATAGCCTCCAAACACCGAATTATACAACATACGGACTGTGAGGGCAAATCAGGTCTCCACGAGGAGGAGGACATGTTCGTGTTTGTTAATGCAATACTCTTTACAAGTAAAGCAACAGAATCTTTGATATTTGAAATAAATTTTCAATACAGATCCTTCAGCTAATCATCAGCTAATACTAGAGCAGCGCCGTTTCCACGAACGGAACACTACTACTCGCACCACCACATACTGGAATAGCCTGTCCATTGACAAATCCAGCTTCTTCCGAAGCTAAGAATGTGACTACAGCCGCCACTTCACTAGGTTCAGCGTGACGTTTCAACGGATTCAAATCGTTTAATTTGCTTGCCAAGCTTCCGGGTACGCCCAGCTGGAAGATTTCAGCACCGACACCTGTTTTGATCATCTCGGTTGCTATGAGGCCAGGGCATACTGCGTTACAGCGTATGTTTGTCCCAGCCAGCGTATGCTAACGGAAAAGGAGATTATTTAACCGCGGGATCTGATGACCATCTTCTCTGAGACTGTAAAGGATAAAGCAAAGGATGTGACCAAGCACGTAGCTCACTTACAGCTCCAGTCTGTGCTAAGGATATGACGCCAGCTTTAGCAGCAGAATACGGTGGTCCACCAGCATGTGCTTTTAGCCCCGCTATCGAAGCAGTCATAATAATGCTCCCTCCCGATTTGGGCTTACTGGCACTCGTGACTAGCATTCCTCTAGATCCCTCTTTTATACCCAAGAATGGTCCATACGCATTCACCCGCATCACTTCCATGAAATCTTGCTCTGTCACATCCTAATGCGATACCCGAGTCAGTTCAGATAATATGCCAAGTGTAACGAGATATGAATGGGTGTCTTACAAACCCATATCCCTGTCCAGGAACCCCAGCATTAGCGAAAAACACATCTAGTCTTCCGTATTCGGCGAGAGCAGCATCGACCACACTTGCGACATCTTTAGGGTTGCCACTATCCACTTTTTGGATGTGGACTTTAGTTTGCTTGTAGTTTTTTGTTATTAGAGATGCTAAAGCTGGCAGGTTGCTTGTGTTCACATCCGTTCTACATTGGAAAGGTCAACTACTGTTGGCTGGCTCAAGTATGAATCCAGGTCCACATTACATGTATATTGCAGCAGCAGAGGATTTAGCAAAGTATAGTGCACTTGCAGCTCTGTGGTGGGAATGTCGAAATGTGAGATCAATGTTCGTGGACTTTGGTTGATGTCTCAAACGGTGCGAAACTGTCTCGTTGAATTTGTTTGGAGCTCATGTATTAGCCGCATACATACCCGATACCAATGGCAGAGTTACAGCCAGCTACTCAATGAGAAAGTGTTGAGACTTTAGAGCTGAACATATCTGCAGTTGCAAAACCGTGTCTTACTGATGATGCAGACTTTTCCAGCCAGCCGAGAGGTAGTCAAAGTATCGGTCTGAGACATGCTTTGGCGCTAAGAGATCTCCAGGAGAGCGATCGCAATATGGGTTTCGGGGCGATTCTAGATTTCGAACTTTTGCCCAAGTTAAACGACGCAACTGCATATGGTCAGCCAACGAAGAAATCAGCAAGATGTATACGAACATGAATCAAAAAGATGAGGACAAGAAGCTTCATCTATTCAGCCTCCCAATCCTTACGAATTTAGACGCGATTTCCACATGCTGAACGCACGAGTTTACAGCCAAGAGTAATAGGAGTTCAGGCTCCGATTCTTCTTGAAAGAATGTATTTAGATGATTAACGCGTTTGTAGTATTTTTAGTCCCTCAGTTCGTCAAATACTGATCCTTCAATTGAGAAACAACCAAGATCCAAGATCTGTTTTGTTTACAAGTCAGCGACAGTCATGTCTCCAAGAGGAGGAGGACATCACAAGACGCTAGCATTCAAGGCGGACAGGTATGATCCATCGTCATTCTGGTATTCGTCCTTTAGTTTGGTTCAAGATCTCGCAAATGTTGAACCAGCGGAGAGTCATGTGCGGTACATTGCTGGTAATAGCTTATGTCAATAAGGAAGCTGATAACTTATATCTATCTATATATAGCGAAGAAGATTCTGAATTGGTTGCTGTTCTTCAAAGTAAGCTTAATCGGACAGTCAGAAGACATCAACAGCAAATCATGGAAGCCATATTTGTCCGATTCATGTTAGTGACACACGACAACACGTCTAATCTCAACGTCATGATCAATACTATCAACTAGAACGAGCAGCCAAACGTGCAGAACAAGCAAAGAAACAATTGGATGATGAGTGCTCAAACATTCAAAAGCAAATATCGCAAGCTGCTCGAGATTTGTTTGCTCGTCATCAGGATGAAATGTATGTGCTATCATCAGCTCAGTTATGTTTGTGATGAAGTCATCACATTCTTGCAGATAACCTGTCGGCCTTGTTGCCTCTAACAGTGAAACAACCACAAAACGATTCACCGAAAAGATGGAAGAGATGAATGAAGAACGTAGTCAATGGTTTCGGAAGCTCAAGACTGATTGTGATAAACTCGCTGTAAGTGCACTTTTTCAAGTAATTCCATTTTTGGGCCTCATGACCCAGCACTACACGCTCGAACAGGCATTACAAAAGACACTATCAGAAACAACAGCCAAGAACCACGAGATTGAAAGGAGGCTTTACGAGTCTATGGTCGACTCAATGAAGGAATCATTTGCAGGTTCATTTATTCTTCTTCTCCATCCTCGTTTTGTTGGGTTCCATGTCATCAAACCCCATAGCTATTTTCATCACAAAGGTGCCTTGTCTGAACTTGATACTGATCCAAGACCGGAACAGACGAATAGTGGTGCAACTACTTCAAGCAAGACTACAAAAACCTCTGATATTGGGAAACAAGGAGCTGCTGCTTCAGCCAAGAAAACGAAACGTAGTGCCAACGATAAGGCTCAAGAGGATAATCGAGCTGGTGCTGCTCAGAAGAGGCAGAGAGTTGACTTTAAAGTGAGCTTCCAATGCTGTCCATTCTGTCGATACATTTTTGCTGGTATTTCCAACGACTATCAAACATTCTCTAGGACTACTACGAATCATGACCCAGTCAAAAGGACCTTCAAAGTTTACATTTCAATAATTTACTCATGTTTGTACATTTTTTATGACAAGTTGAATTGAACTCGCCATCACCTTTTAAGTTGAATTGAACACGCCATCATCTTTTGACAAGCAGCAACGACTGGTGGTGGTGGTGGTGTCGATGCTAATACCAACGGTGACGGTTCGAAAACTCAAGAGGATGACGGAGCTGGTGTTGGCTGAAACGACAGTTGCGATCATTTTTTCGCGTTGCCAAAACAACCCAAACCTCAAATTGGACAAATACAAATGATCATATCACAAGATTTCACAAGTTTATATATATCAATATGTTTCAGATACTTATTAACTAACAGTTTTCACACTTGTTGCTTAATTATACACATCACACAAAACTCTGGTCGGCCTTCCATGCGCCCTGCGAAAAATTCAACGCGTGCCCAACTCTTAATACACCAGGCGGCAGCGATATAGTAGGTGACATAGCAGATTTTGCTGCACTTGCTCCAACAGCAGCAGATGAAGCAGCATGATTCCTCAATTGAGCAGGTGGGAAGACCCGTTGCAACTCCTTAATCGTCATGATAGCCACCGAGTTATTCTTTAACTTGATAACCTCCTCATCATCTCTCAACCATCGACGATTGGATGGTGGTTGTTGCAAGTCCTTCAAATCAGTAAGCTGAATTCGTCGAGACAAGCCTGAATTCATGGCGTCCCATACAGTGGAAGGTACGTTTGTGGATGCGGTTGATACCGGTGGTTTGATGGGTGCGATTGTCGGTGTATGCAAGGCGATGATACGGGATTGGTGATGACGATCGACTAGATTTGAGAGCGAAGAGGGGCCAGTCCATTCCTTTTTCGCTAGTGGTGGCAGTTTGCTGTCTGACATGGACCGTACGTCGTTCATTGTCACTCCGTATATGGATTTATTGGAACGGCATGCTTCACTGCGACGTTTCAGGTTTGGCCAGTTTTCTTCGAGATCTTCCGGCGGAACAAAGTTTCGTGGACGGAGTATGGTTGGCGGTGGTTGTGTTTGGTTTTTGGATAGGAGAAACCATGGGAAATTTGATATGGGTGGTACGTTTGGGTTTTGGTTGCGTAATTCTTCTTCTGACACTGTATTCGAATCTGGATATATGTAATCGTCACTTGGTATTTCTTCATTTGTATCGTCACTCTGTTGATTGTCTTCAAGAGGTATGTCCGATTCACTACGACTAGGTGGATCAGACTCATCCTTCGCATCCAAGGATTCTTCCAAATCCATTTCACTAGCAATCTTGAATCCAATATTCATGGCGTGACTTGACAATGTGCGTTTCCGTCCAATTGGAGAATCGACTGTCGTCATTGGACGTCCAGACCAAGGAGTTAGATCCGTGAACGTCCAATCTCCTTCATTCTGCATTGTTGCTTCAGCGTATACGGATTCAGCTGATTTCTTGATATGGTTGCTGGATTTAGGTATGGTGCTTGTTGCAGGCAACTTGGGTTTGATGGTCGTCCTCTTCCTCTTTGTGGGTTGTGAATCAATACCCACAGTATGATGCACCACAACATTTTCACGTTCTCGAAGCGCTGATTCTGGCTGTTTCGAGACTGGTTGCTCCACTAAACTCGATTGTGATGCTATCGGTGTCGTGATAGATTCAGTACTACATTCTACAGATGTAGCAGGGGCCAGATCCGTCGTCGTTGAACTGAGTGCAGCTATAAGCACAACAGATTTTGCCATCATTTCGTTAATCTTTGATGCATCCATTGGAGGTTCAATGACAGCTTCCTGTGGTCTTTTCCAAGCTGATTTGCCACCTCTGTTGGGACTGTGACCCTTCCATGATGTCCATTGCTGTCCTGGTAGATTGTTTTGGGATGAGAATTGTGATTGCGAGTCGTCACTAGATGGTCCGAAGCTTAGTACAGCAGGTCGTAATGATTGGCGTTCTTTACATTGACGTTGAGAGTCATTCTTTCGTGGTGTTGATAGTGTGGCATCAGTTGAAGTTACAGGTCGACTAGCAGCGTCATCGTCGTTCTGGTTGGTTTTGTTCGGCACGTCTGTATCGTTATCTTGATCCAATGCATCAGAGTACTCCCATTTATCCTCTGCATCCGGCGAACTCAACTCAACACCCGAATCAGCCTGACAGGCTCTCAATTCACCCTCCATTTGTGCCTTGCCAGGCTTCACAATAGTAACTTTCAAGATTCGTCCCTTACTAGCAATAACAGAGGACGATGATCGTGGTTTGCCAGTAACAGATTGTCGTGCAGAAGACGACTCCCTAGCCGAATACGTCTTCCATGATGGTTCAGCAGTAATTGCCATATTTACAACATCATCCACTAGACTTCCAAGACTTCCAAGCCCACCAATAGAATGTTTACGACGAGTCAAATCATCTAATATGGCAATTGCATCTGTTTTGCCACGGTGTCGTGCACTACGTCGTCGAATAGAGTTGAAGAAAGATTTCGAGCCTAGAGTTGCTGAATTATTATTGCTGCGTTTCGAAATTGGCGACAGAGTTGGGATGACAGAAGTAAATGATGCGTCTAAGGACTGTGTGGCGTTTGAATTGAAAGCGTCTGCAACGCAACTCCATGATGAGGACATCTACAAGGCATGAGATTGGGGTATGCGGCATGTTAACGGAAAATTCAGCTGGAAAAAAATTGATGCAAAAAAGTAGTAAATGGCCACTTACCACCGGTCGTGTCTATCACAAGGCTCTAGACGATAGGATAAAATTGTACTATAAATACGCAATTCAGTAGCGCGCGTGCATCATTTGCACAGCTTGGGGTTGACTTTGCAATTTTTCAGGAAAATACCCTCGAAACGTTGAATCACTAGACAGAAGAGAATAGAGTTGCCCAAAAGTTTGTTGCGCCAAGATAAGCCAGATTAATCACGACTGGGAATCCGGGAATTGCATTACATTTTCTTACACATGCTGTAGTGATCCATACCGCCATATAGTGACAATCAGTATTTTCGTCGCAATCGCCGCAATCAAGCAAACTTCGAAGAGCCACCAAGAATCACAAGATGGAGGAGATCGACAAATCACCAATAGATTCCATGTGTGACGTCCGTTTAAGTCTAGTCTCGGAAACAAACGACATCTACTACATACATCGCCCCGAACAAACCGGAACGATTTGTAAAATACCCCACGAGATATTGATACACTGCATACTATACCTAGACTACAAATCCGTGGTTAAAGCATCACAAACATGTCGAATACTACAAGCCCGCTCGGAGGACTCTGTCATCTGGAAGACACTTTGTGCACAAAACAATGTCGGAATCGAAGATATGGAGCCAGCATCAAGCACCAGCAACGTCGAAAACATAATTAGGATTATAGAGCCACGTGTTATCCTCTGGAAGGAGCTATTCATCGCACACATACTCGTAACCAAGGCAAGGAGACGAGGAATATGGGCATCATGGCAGGAACGGGCAGCACAATACACAAGAAACAATACCATAATACCAGCCACATCACGCCAGATTCCACGCATCTTGGTACCATGCGACCAGTGTGAACGAGAACAAACCGAAAGCTTCCCAATGTCTTGGACGTCACCTATCCGACTTGACTCCTTCGTCGAAACAAGCACGGAAGACTCGATGGAATTTTATTCAAGTGTAGAAGACATGTCTAGCATGACCATATCCAACTTTATGCTGGACTCTACTCGCAAGATTGAAGCCATACCAAGATCCCTCCCACTGCAGTATCGACGTAATGCTAGTAATACAAGTGGTGGCAGTTCAAGCTCGGCCTCAAGCTCTCTATCTGGATCTCCTTCGTCACCGCCAGTAATAATAGGTGGAACGCCAAGATCGAATTTTCTTCAGCATACCCTTCAGGGCGGATGTAGATTAGCTGGATCGCTAAAGGACTATACGGCATCGTTTGATATTGTGGGGACGAATTATGGACATGCCAACTTGCCACAGACATTGGCAAATCTTTTGATTGTCAGCTCGTTTAATTAGAGCGACGGAGAGGGAGACTTGTAAGAGCGCGACTATAGAGTATTTAACGACGTGAATATATGTATCTGTTTCCTATTTGGGTTATGTAATGAACCTTGTTTGACACATTAGCAGAACCTAGGAAACAGAGGCGCCTACAAGATCACCGCTACTCTCGACCATTCCTGGAGCTTCCTTCATTGTATATACGCGTAAACATCTGATCTAGCGCGTATCCACTAAGATAGTTCGGTAGCTCATAACTCGGATCAGCTTTTAATCTTTCAAACACACAAAAACAGCATTGGCTCAATTAGAACAAGAGACGGCAGCTCTGACAGACCGCAGCTTCCGCTTTATGATATAGAAAGACCATCAAGACGTCTACATCGACACTCTACTGCCCTGCTTTGGAATATCTGTCCATAGTTTTATGATTTTGAGCTCTCAGAGTGGCAGAGATTTTCAGAAAATGGCACTCAGAATTCCAGGCACGCATCATATCAAATGTCAGAAATAATATTCAAGTGCTGATGTAGACTCGTTGATAGATTTGCTCTACGAGATATTCCAAAATGTGGATAATCATGTGAGTTTACTCTCCTTCTGCCAAGTCAACAAGACTTGGAACTCGGTCGCCTTCATCTTGCTTATGGAGAAAATCAAGGTATAAAATGGAATCTGTCGCTTCTTTTGGTCGGGACTGTGGTTTTCTTAGATGATATGTGAAAGTTACCATTCAACCCAGCCTGTCTTGTCTTTTTCTGTACTAACTGGTTTCTTTTGATCCCTGTGCTCGTTTAGGTGGACTCGGAGACCATACACCCAACTCTGACTGAAGCGTTGAAGATCAACGGCAGACTTGTAAAGTCACTACAACTGACTATCAAAAGTCAGGATACTGTTACTCCTACCCTCAAAGCTTGGAAAGACTTGAGCACTGATTGTACAAGGTTGCATACTCTGTCTGTTGAATTTCAAGCTTCCAAGGTATGGTTGTATCTTCATGTTTGCTATGCATCAAACTTGTTGAGACTTCAGGGTAATCGCTTTTGGGATTAAATCAACAGATCTGGAATACAACCGTGACAGCCATAATCAAAGCCAATCCCGAGCTTAAGCACATCTGTCTATTTGAGAAGGTTGAAAGCATCAAGGAGCCTTCTGATGCGCCATGGTAACCAACATCTCCAAGAAAACCAAAAAAGAGAGAGAAACTCAATTACATAGTACGCCTCCTTCTCCAGGTTTATCTGTGAATCTCCATCCCGCCGCTCAGCACTAGCCTCTCTCGTCAACGCGTCGGCAAAATCCGCAGTCTTCACATTGAAACTATCTCCAGCCTACTCGTTTGAACTACGACCTGAATTCTATCAACTACCTCTTGCACTCGAAGCTGAATCATCTCGTGTCTTCAAGCAAGTCCAAAAAATTGCTTTTATACACCACAGCATTTTTTTGTCTAAATCCAGTTTGCTTTCGTGTTGTTAGGGTATACACATCCCACTTCCCAGCCCTCACACTAGAAACAGAAGGAATGGGAGACATTAAAAGAGAATATCGTTCTTTTTTCGATAATGCCACTGCGTTTAAGCAACAACAGCAAGGTAATCGAGACAGTAAAAACACAATGGTACTTTGTCCTCTTGTTCTCACAACAACTCACATCTTTAGTCGAATTATACATTGAATGTGATGGAAACGCAGACTGCAGTTGCCGAAAACCAGATGCTCCTCTCCCAACAACAGTCGAAGAAGGAGAAGCTGTTGTGGTTGTGGGAGCTGATGAAGGGAATGATCAAGAGCCCGAAGCACTCAATCCTGTAATGGATGATGCTGAACCTGTCGTTGTTGTCGCAGCAGCAACACAAGCTGTGGGAGTTGTTGCTCAATGATGGTCGCTTGAGAGGGAGAAAGATGGAAGTCCAGTTGATAAGATTATTCTATAGTTGGTGGCATTTTTTATTTTCCATGTTTTGCTGTTTTCTCATATTTAGTTCGTTGTTGTGCTCATTGTAAACATTCAGTTATATAGAATAACAAGTTTAAGCGGTAAATACGCTGGCATCACCGACAGGTTTGGGCTTTTTTAGGATGAAGTCACTCTATTAACAGCTTGTGTTAAGCACAAGTCTCTAAAATGCATTCTACGTATACTTTAACGATCCAATACGAATGGCTTACCACGAATAGCAACGTACAGCACCGTCTTAACTGCACAATATCTAGTCCATGTCCTTTCTGGCTCACTTACTGGTCTCAAACGCCCGAGAAACGGCGCCCTCTCGAGAGAAAAAAAATTCCTTGAAACGAATAGCATGAACCTCACTGAAACAGAATGCAAACAGACCATGATGAGACAACAACCACCAAATTCAAAAGCACGGTTCAGCAGCTTGTTTTACGTGTTAAGTTACTCTATATTCAACATGTGTTAATGACAGTTTACATACACACGGCAAATCATGCCTTCTTCTTCTTCTTTTCCACAGCAGCCTTAGGCACTGTCCAAGTAGACCCATCTTGAACAAATTCGTACAGAATCCAGCAATTTACTATATAAAAGACACATCCAGCAATCCACAGTTCACGAAATGTATTCCTGCCTAGATGTTCTAGCTGATATGCATAGTTGAGCCATAATGCCTGGAAGGAAACAATGGAAGTGGATTTTAGCAAAAAGGACACGGACGATACCGTAGTATTGAAACTAACCTGTCCCAAAACCCACGCAACAAGCATACACAGTCCCATTCCTGAATGTGCTAAACTGCTAGTGGGAAGTATGATTGGCAGGAAGCATAGATACCACATGAAATACTAGTCGAATGTGTAGTGTTAGAAACAGACCAAAAACCCATTCCTCAACCCCTTGATGCGTACCTGAGAGGTGCAAACCTTATTCAGCATGACAAACGCAAACGTTTGCAAAAAGCATGCAAACGGCAAGTCGTGTCCGTATCTAAAGCCAAGGAAGGCAACTAGTCCCAATTGAGGTGCAAAACTAACAAGTCGTGACCATAGTGCTGGCGAGTGTGACGAGCTTGTCAGGTAGAGGGAGTAGAAGTAGACTGAAAAGTTGTGGCGGTGGTCTTGGCGTGTGAAGTGGTATAGGTATGATTCCTGGATGAATGGGTATCCGTATCTAGTATCAGAGTTTCAGGTTATGCACCGCCAAAGAAAGCGAATCACACATCACCTAAATTCACTCTAAAGAGACGAACTTACACAGTGTACATGGCTAACGACAGCAAAACGAACGTCCCACTACATATAGCGACAAACTGCACCCTCTTTAATGTCATAACATCCCTCCAAGTCCCTTCCACACCAGCACCATCAGGTTTCAGACTGACGAGACACGGTGCCCCGTATATGACCGGATAAATCTTGAAATGAATAGCAACTCCCAACACAACAGCACTCATCTTCCACCTCTTGACCAGACTCAAGTATACAGCCCACAACACCAAACAAACAGCCAGCGATTCCGACGATCCCCGCGTGGAGATAGTAGCCACGAATGGATTCAGACTCCATATTCCAGCAATCCAGTACTGCGACTGTTCTTGATTTATACCACGTGATTTACATATACGAGATAGCAATACAGTGCTAGCAATGTCACCTAGTATGAAGATAGCTTTGCCCCACCATGAATGGCATCCCGTCCATATGCCTGGTAGCAGTAAAAAGGATAGAATGGGAGTGTATCTGTATGTGGATCGGATATATGGAGAAGCACCGTGGGATGTGAGGTTTGCAGCGTCTGTGAACACGTAATAGTCCACGTCCGTGTATTTTACAGGTATGGGGAGCGAGTCCTGGTAGATCCCATAGAGTAGGAGTATGATGCGGGCCACTATGGGGAGGAATGTGAGTGTTTTACTAGTGGTTGACATTCTGGTTCTTTTTTCGATGAGTTTGGTGAGGGTGGTTGGAGGAGAAGGAGTTGGAAGCAGAAAGAAAGACTGTGGATTGATTTATTACGCGTCATATTGACAATGTTCGACGGTGAAAAGCTCCCAAGAGCTCCCTTTGTCGTGATTTGGATGTAAACACACGAGTTTCATGCTTTCGTGCCTTTCTGGCTATATCACGTAGCTGAGTAGCTACAAATGCAATATCTAGTCAGTCTACTATAGCTTACATACAATCTCTTGTTAAATTTGTCACCATTATAAGGTCATATGCGTCCAAAAGCTTAATCACCTCTCATCAATTGCGAACAAAAACTCAACCACTGAAACTAGCAATCCCCAACTAATAAAAGTGTCTCAGTGGAAAAAGTCGCTTCTACTAGCGAATGAGTCCATATCCCTGGCTCCTCTCACCTCATCCCAAATGCACGCATATGTTCCAATCCAGGGCCAAAATGTCCATGTCGACGAAACTGCGAGTCTAGCCGACACTCTGATACCTGACGAAGGAGGAATCCAGCCCCAACCTCGAATCGGAATATGGAAGATGATTGTGACCTCTGTTTGCTTGATGGGCGTCTCTTTTATGTGTACGGGAACAGCATCAATTGTGCTCAAAAGCAACGTGATTATATACTGACGCTTCTAATCTGTTGTAGGGACGGTCGAATTGGCATATGGAACTCCCTATCTCAAGTCGTTGGGCTTGACCAGTTGAGTTCTAGTCTCGAGTCGCATACTCGAGCTCAAGCTGCTCACCGTTTGTTGTAAATTAGATGCTTCTATGGCAATGGTATGGCTAGCAGGGCCCTTGTCTGGACTGATCATGCAGCCACTCATTGGAGCGTATTCGGACAAGCTGACTTGGAGAATTGGGAGACGGCGGCCCTTTATTGTTGGTATGGTTTTCGTGTAAAACTGCTACTGGTCACGCTCACGATTCTCATGTGTAGTGCTTCTTTTGTGCATAGGTGGTGGAATAGCTACTCTGGGCTCATTATGGATTATAGTATATGCCAAAGAGCTTGCTGTGCTCGTTACCCCTGGCAATATGGAGGTTTGTTACCTACCCTACATCTTTTGCATGGACTGAACCCTCATCACCAAACCTCGTTTTTCGCTTAGGTTCAAAAGATGGCAATCCTACTAGCAGTCTTTGGTTTCTACTGTCTAGACTTTGCCGTAAATGCAGTGCAAGCATGCTGCAGAGCACTACTCGTTGACGCTGCACCAACAGATCAGCAGGCATCACTAAGTGCATTTGGAGGCACAATGAACAATCTAGGAAACCTCCTAGGTTACGCAGCAGGATGGATGCCACTCCCACTCTGGTTTCCCTACTTGGGCCATTCACAATTCTACACTTTGTGTGTCCTAGCCTCAACAGTATTCATCATCTCCCTCTGCATAACGTGTATAGGAGTCCACGAAATCCCCAAAGAACACAGCACATGTGACTTAGATCAGCCATGGTATAAACCACTCCTAGCCATCGCACATGCGTTCTGGCATACATCACCGACCATAACAGCTATATGTAATGTCCAATTCTGGAGTTGGTTGGGTTGGTTTCCCTTCTTGTTTTACGCTACCACGTGGGTCGCTCAGCATGTTCCTGCATCGACAGGACCCATACCGTCAGATACGGAATCGATGGATCTTGGTATACGAGCTGGATCTTTTGCATTGCTGCTGTCGTCTGCTGTATCATTGGGTATATTGATGCTGCTGCCCATGATTCGAAGAACTATAAGTATGGCTGATGCGGATGTTACAGAGTCATGGTATACGTTGCCGAGGATGTGGGCTTTGAGTTGCTTTTGGTATGCTGGTTGTATGGGTGCTACCTTCTTTGCTACGGGTATAGAAGCTGCTATAGTAGTTGTGGCTTGTACTGGTATATCGTGGGGTGAGTGAGTCGGGTATCAAGTTGTTGTTGTACCGCATCCTGTAGAACTTTGAGTCGGTTTTTTTGTCCCTCGTCATGGTGTTGACCTTTCGAAATTGACTCATACTTTCAAACAACGTTATTTAGGCGTGACACTATGGGCTCCATTCACACTCATTGGCGAATACGTTGTCAACCAACTAGGTGAATCCGAAGAAATGGTGTACGAAACCTCTCGTCACAGCGACGATGTAGAAGAGACTCCCAAATCAGTGCAACCGATGTATCCAGCCATTACACCAGCTACGACCACCGTAAATGTAAATACACCACTAACAGCAACAACGATAACACCACCAATAACAACCACCGGAGTAGCAGTCGCAGGAGCAGGTCCATCACGACGCCAATCACCAGCCTCATCACAATCCAGCCGTCGAAGCTCAACACCAACCCGAAGACGTAGTATCTCACCTCGACTCATCCGAGACCCCGAAAGCAACACAACCACCAAACCACTAGAAGCAGGCATCGTACTAGGAATCCACAATGTATATATCGTACTTCCACAACTTGTGAGTACGTTCTTGTGTGCAGCCTTGTTCCAAATGTTTGAAGAGCTGGCTGAAAAGTCGAGGGCTGATGGAAGTGAGGGGGTTAAATATGATCCGTTTGGATGGGCGTTGAGGTTGAGTGGGTTGGCGTCTATTGTTGCGGGGATATTGGCGAAGAGGCTGTCTGAGCGGCTGCAAAAAAAGCCAAAGCCCTGAAGTCAAATGGATTTGAAGAATTGGGAATTTTTGTACATTCATCTACTGTGTACATTTTCTTTTCAAATGACGATATAAACATAAAAATAGTTCGTTTCTTGAAAGCTTTGTGTATTTGGTTTGAGGGGTACCTCAATGTATCATTAATAGAGAGCGAACAAGAACGTATGAGTGTAACCTGCGATGAACAAGTTCCAGTTCTGGAATCTCCGATAAGGTCACAAGATATAACCCTGGTCATCCATCATGGATTGTCGGACGCCCAGGTGGGGTTTCTCATCGTGACGAAGCCCTCCATCATCCTTCCATAGTTTTAACCCCACGCGCTGCAACTCACAAAGCTCGCAATCAAAAAAGTTGTAGCTCCAAGGTAAGATTTCTGCCAGTTTGCCAAGAGACGTTTTGACTCACAGCACACAGTTTGAAGCTGCCTGCTGATTCGCCTAAACTTGCATCTTGCGTCATTCTAGTTCATCATGAACGCCTTAACAATGAACTTCTCACCCTGTGAGGGATCAACCTCCTATCTCCACGGCCACATTGGATTCGACGCTGCGAAAATCAAGGGCACCCTTGAAGTCTTCCAACGACGACGAAATTCGTCGCTCCTTGACAAGGTCAGCATCACATTCCGCGTTTCGACAAAGGTAGGCATCGGATAAATTGAAATTGATTGTTTTGTGCATTCTCTTGTCGAATATGACAGAGATCTATTGATAAAGCAATTGCTTCTCCCTCCCCAAAGTTGCATGATCTACCCGCTTTGCAACTTTAACCCCACCTTACCAAAAATGATGAAACGACATGGCCTGGTACATTGAACTTGATTGTCAACCTCTCTCCTTTTAATTATAGACACAATCATCACACGGCTCATACCAAGCAGCCACAAACGTCGTGCACGTCCATATCAGCAAATCATTCACACTGATGCGCAAACCACACCAGTTACTTGCATTCGAATTCGTGTTGCCTGCACTGGACTATACCGACCATCTTGATAATATGGATGTTAGTAAACCGACGAGATGGGATTTGCAGCCTCAGCTGGAGTATGCGGGGATTAATGAGAAGAGTGGGACTTATAGTGTAAGTGTTTGACAAGTAGCACACAATGAAAGGATTTCTTCCTTTTTTTGCCATTATTGACCTCGAACTGTCTCTATTGCTTTGGTTAGATGTCGACAATCTACGACCTAACAGCCCAAGTATTCGAATTCCCATCATCGGAATTCGCGTCTCCGAAACGTATATCGACTAAACGGGTTGTGCTGCCTGCTTTTGAGATGCTGCAGCGGCATCGTGTTATGCAGCTCGTTGGTATGTTTAACGACCTTTTGCCAAAAAAAAGTAGATACACTATCTGACAATTAATTTGGAACATAGGTGTCCAACCAACAGAGAAATCATGGGAACATGTCAGTCCCGACCTTGCATTCGACCTATACATGAATCGACGAGTGTTTTCTCGTGGCGAAACAATCGAATTGTATATCCACCTGACGCCATACGTCCGCGTGGACGAGATCAAAGCGATAAGGGTATCGCTGAGGGAGATGCATGTCGTGCAGGTGCATGGTGGAGGTAACGAACAACTAGGTGAGTCGTTATCATTGGTCAAACTGTCTATTTTTTTGTGGTTTACAAAATCTAACATCGTTTTGTTCAGCAACGGGACTGAGAGATTTATCAGTCTTAACAGCCAAACCAGAACACATCCGTCAATCGCTCCAACCTGCTAAACAGGATGGACGTGCGGGCTTACGTATGACGCTGACGGTACCTAAAACGACACTACTATCCGTCAATAGTGACTTGGTGGTGGTTAAACATGGTGTTGTGTTGCAAATTGTGGTCGGGAGGACGTGCTATACGCTGAGTGGACATATTGTGATTGTGCCGTTTGCGAGAGGGACTGCTGAGGTAATGTCGCCTGTATTCCAAGGCCCGAGTGCTGTTTTTTGTGTCAGCACAGCTAACGAGTGTGTTTTTCGCAGGAGGCGATTGACAACCATCCTGAGTTCTTGGGCGAAATGATTGATCGGTGGCAGTCGGGATCTCCATTATATGCGCCCATGATGTGGGTTAATAAGAGTGAGTTTCTGGCTAGTGCTATTGCGTGTGCTTAATGGAGGAGCCTGTGTGTAATCTGTGGCATAATACTGGGACCCTTTCTATATATTGTAAAACATGTGTACACTTGTGCAAACTGTATCGTCTGTATAAGTAGTTGGAATCGTTTTAGTAGCAATGTTGTTTTAAAGTAAAGATATGGTGTTTTCATGCGATGACGCGTCAGAAATGCAGTTCTAGTTCCTGGTTCTAACTCAAGCCTTGAGTTAGAACCACTGAGTGCTAAGCTCGAAGTGTCACTGAAGCTTCGCAGCATCCACAAACGCAACATTCTCGTCCGCTTGTCCAGATCACCCGTTAAGCGTAAGCGATGAGTGCATCCAACGGCTCTACAAATGGATTCTCCTCCTCCTCATCTCCTCCCACCATCCCAGTTCCTCAATACTGGAAGAACGCACGTCGACTTGGCAAACCAATTGATCGTTTCCTCCCATTCAAACGCCCCATGCCTGCATCGTATTCAGATGATGGGCTTATTGATGAAGATGAAGATGTCTTCACTGCTTCTATGGTATGTCTTGTTGTGGTTTGGAACCAGACATTAAAAGTAAAGCTCACATTGTTTCCAAACATGGTAGATCGCATCATCAAACAGGTCGCTAGGCCTCGTAATTGATTTGGAGTCTGCTGGTGTGTCATGGAAGTATGTGATCTATGTCAAGGCTCCACCTTTCGTGATGCAAGAGCTCAAAGTGTGTGGTTCTATAGGACGGATGAATGGCAGTCCAAATCCATCCCAGTCGTCAAAATACCAGTCACAACGTCAATACCAGATGCACAAGCTGTACAGTTGTTTTGCAGAGTCTGTGAGAGTTTCTTTGATAAGAATCCAGACAAGCTTGTTGGCGTCATGGACGACTTGGGGTATAACTTCACGGGGTTTTTTCTTGTGAGTTATATGGTGCAGGTGTCTGGCTACGGGCTTGATAATGCGCTGGGCACATTTACGGATGCTAGGGGGTGTGGGGTTTATGATCGTAAGTTGTGTGAAGTGGAATTGAGGTTCACGTATATCATGAGAAACAATTGGGGTTTTTGCTTGCTCTAGGACAACTGATAGATACGCTATACGCTCGCTTTAATGAGCAGAAGCCGTTACGGGATTTGTATCCAGTGGTTCCAAGTTGGGATTTAGTGTATCAGGCCAAATATGTAAGAGCGCAAAAAAGGCAATTTCTTCAGCAAGAATGAAGGTCGCTTTTCTCAGCTTTCCAACACATTATACCTATTGTTAGAAACCAGCAGTCGACCCTTCCATAACATTCAAAGTACCAACACTACCTACAAAGAAACGACCAGCTGACGACCAACTACCAGCACCAACAACATCTATAATACCAAATGATCAGAAGCGAGTCAAGCTGGACGATACAATACCATCATCACATACAAACAAACTACCATTTGGAAAATCAGTGAAAACACCACATCTAGAACGACTTTTAGGAGTTTGGCGGAAGTTAGCTAGTGTTGAGGAGAGCGTGAAGGCTTTACCGGTATGCGAGACGAGGGTTATTAAGAGAAAGGAAGATATGGATGTGTTTGGTGAGGGGTGCTGGTTTGTTACTTGGAAGGTAAAACAACTGTCGTGTCCTAGTCGTCCTGCATAGGTCTTCTAGCTCTCTGAACATGCACCACATACCAACCTAATACATTCTTTATCCTTTTGTACAGACGAAAGGTATACCACTCCACCTCATGCTCTTAACAGAAGGCGCATTCCTCATCTCCCCAGACTTATCCGTAACAAACGTCACACTTACATTCCCTCGTAACATCCCATACAACAATACACTCTTACAATGCGAACTAGTCCAAGACCGTACTCCAAATTCTCCAGCCCCAACACAACGACTATTAATAACAGACATCACAACCCTCGATTCCAAACCCATGACTCAACACTACTCGTTTACGAAACGCTTGGGAATCATACAAGGAATGCTAGATCCACGAAATAAAGATCCGTGTGTTAGTGTCAAGGATGATGTTAGAGTAAGATTAAAGACGTATTCGATGTCGAGGAAAGCTGGTGATGGTGTGTCGCAGAATGCTGTTGCGGGACTGAGGAAGAATGTGCTGCCTGTGCTTCCGCATGAGTGGTGTGGGGTGCTGATATGGAGTGATGGTGATGGTGGGGTTTGGGAATGGGAGAAGGAATGTGAAGGGGTTTCGTTTGATCAGGTAGTGAAGAAGGTTGATGGGTGAGAGGAAGAGGGGATTTGTAGAAAGAGATCTTGCATAGGACTGGATTATGTACATAACGCACGTAAATAATAACATGGTGTTGATCACAACCACAAAAAAAAGTTGAGTGAGTCAGTTACAACGAACGGTTTATACTTTTATATATACATGACTGATCCCAAACGTCTTGGGGGTTTATAGTATGTTACAGTTCTATAAAATTCTTCTCTATCTCGTCTCCTTGGTGGGCAAATGAGGTTATACTGGAAGGGTACAAAAACTTGACTGGGGCCTAGGTATGTTTCTCTGTTTATATATAATGTGGATGAATGCCGGACTTTCCGTGTTATCCTCAGAAGACCGGTTGCGACGCCGCCAGCTGCGACGCAAAGCTATACGATGATGCATTCGGTGACGATGGTGTTTGGTTTTCGAATGTGGGTTGTTGCTGGGTGCGTGAGAGGTATGATTGGCGATACATTTCTAGTGTCTGGATAGAGAATAAAGTTGGGGTGAGTATACAAGTTGGGGATCTCGAGTAACAAACATGGTTTTTTTCAAACAAACGATCAAATTGTAGCATACCTGTCTCTGCATCATTAAACGTAACCGTAAAACCTCGGCCACATCTTCTCTTGATAATGGTTGTACAGGTGTTGATGAGCGGTCATAGTCGAGTTTCGGATATGTTAATGCCACCTGTATTGCGACATAACGTTAGATAACGATTTAAAGGAAGCAAAATCAAGTAACAAAGGATAAACCAAGATCTTGAACAGATCTCGTCAAGAGATCCGACATATGTACATACCGTAACAAGTTCATGAAACCTGACAGCTTTTCGTCCTCCGTCCGACGACATTGTTGGATTTGAATCAAGGGTGCCGGATAAGTGAGTGATTGTGTTTTCGTTGGATTGCTCGTTGGATGATACGGAGGATTCCATAGATTGGCGTGCTTCGTTACTCATATTGGTTTGGTATAGTGTTATGATGTTGGTTTGGCTGGAGTGTTTTTTATAAAGTCAGGGGCTGGTTCCTTTGTGCGGTTAACGGTCCAAAGTATGCGTTTAACGTATATACGGACTGTTGATGCTGGGATACAGTGGATAGCTTGTGCAGCTGGTAAGAAGATAGATATAGGGAGATTTCTGGTAAGTGGTTCTGGTCAGTGTTTTTTTTTGAAATCCCTTTCTTTGTTTGTTGATCAAATGACTGTCTGTTCACATGGGGCTGTTCGTGTGCTACAAAGTGACAGCCTCAAGTCAGGATGCAGAGAACGGGTGGATTTTAAGGGGGTATATAGGCTATTTGTTCGTGTACTGGATCTAGAGTTGATGGTATACTTTATCGAAGCCCTCTTCACTTCACACATCTTCAGTCACCAACTTTGTGCTTCTTGTGGACCCCAGCTGACTCAAAGGATGCAAAGTATGCACATTTTGGCTTCTATTGTTTATTGAGCCTTAGCACTTGACTTGAAGCATAAAGTAGTATACAGCCTCGAAGGTCTAGAACAAAAGTATGTGTTTCTCGGAGGTTGTGATTTGCTTGGAATAGCGGTTGCATCTGGAATTGTGTGGTCGCTATGTCGGGGTAGAGTGGTTATGGCTTCGATTTTTGTGGCAGGATGGTGTTCAATAACTTGTTCTTTTGCTGGTTTGGATGTAATCTCACGCGCTTGAGCTGAGTTTCAATTGGTTGGCTTTCGAAGGAAGTCAATTTGAAAGTCGATGCAAATAACGGATTAAGAGCCAGAATAGTGGATAAGACTGCCTAGTCTGCTGGTGTGGGTACTGGTTGTAACAAACACACATTTCCAAGTTGCTCGTTCCCCAATGGTTTGTTACAAAGAGAATGATTGTTGCTGTTGATGGAATGAGTATTGTAGATCATATGATCATACATGTCAGCGCACAAGAAGCTCAGANNTCTGAGCTTCTTGTGCGCTGACGAGTCGATGATTCACATTCGTCAAGACTTGATGGTGGTTTCAACCTTGTAGTTATTTTATTATATATACAATGTGTTCAAAATGATCAATAATCGAGCTGCAATACGCGTAATTTGTGTTCCCTTCTCTCTTCAATCAATATCAACCCCTCCAAACACTCCCTCATAAACGTCAGCAATGGCCCAAATCAACGACGTCGCCAAGCAATTCGTAGATTATTATTACTCGACTTTTGATCGCAATCGAGCTGAACTGGCTCCTCTTTACGTGCGTCCCATTGACTCCATTTGCATGTCCTTTGAAAAACATTTAAAACTGTGCTTGTCAACCCATTCCAACTCATTAATTCAAACAACAGAAAGCAAATTCCATGCTCTCATTCGAAGGTGCTCAAATCCAAGGCTCACAGGCTATAGTTGAAAAGCTTGTTGTATGTGGTTTTGGACATTTGACATTTAAACATTTTATTGACAATCCAGTTGACCTACGTTTGTTACTTAGGGACTGGCATTCAAAAGAGTAGCACATAAGGTCATATCTCTAGATGCTCAGCCATCTGCAAGTCCAAGTTCCTTGTTGGTTGCTGTGACTGGTCAATTATTGGTATGTGTGTGTGGGAAGGAGGATTGAATAATGAGTGCAGGGATGTTATCTGCTGGAAGGGAAACTATTGATTCACGTACTCGTGTGCTTTAGGTCGACGAAGAAGCACATCCAATGCAGTTTTCTCAGACCTTTCAGTTATTGATGGATGGAGGCTCGTACTATGTCTTTAATGGTAAGAGTGCGCATGTTGGAACTCGTTTCATCAGTTTCAATGTACTAATTAATATGTGTTCGTTACGTGTTAGACATCTTCCGACTCAACCGTAAGTATTGATTTACTAGTGGCTTTTTTACTGGAAACTAACATCAGTTTTTCTACTAGTTGGTTAAAGATCTACACTTACATTCCGCTTTGATTTCATTTCATATTATTGAAAAAACTTATATAGAAAATCAGAATGACATTTTGCAAGAATGAATCTTTTTAGTTTGCACCCATCCATCGTCAAGATCCCGGCCCGAACGTGATGTTTCCGATGCGAACGAGTGATATGACGCGTAGAGACACCAATTCAGTGCTCTGCTATTGGTTGTAGCGTGAACGTCCTTTCGCACCTCACAAAACTCCAAGCTCCGACACGCACATAAAGGCAAACAAAGAATGAACTTTTTGAAGCAGGTGTACAAAGCGAACAAGTCTCTATCTCCAGACCTGTTTGGAATTTCGCAACAGTTGACCTTCGGTGTCCACTCAAGGTAAAAGTTGCAAACATTTGATCAAGTTGCAATTTGTCGTCCTTTTTACCCAGCATTCCACTGACAAGCTCCCCTCCTCCATATTATTCAGGCCTACCGCACTAGCATGTGATCCAGTCCAAGGCCTCCTCATCGTCGGGTTTCTCAATGGCAGCATCTCCATCGTCGGATCATTAGGCATTCAAGTGTCACTGCCAAGTATTGACAATCTGAGCTTGTCGAGCTTGACCGTGAAATTAGGGACTCCGTATATATTAGGATTGTCTACAAAACCGTCGTCGCTGTTGGTGTGGAATACAAAGACGTTAGAACCCAACATCATACTCCCAGCCAGTGTCAAGAGAATCACCGCTCTCGACGTGCCAGTGAATAGCAATTGGACGTTTGTAGGGTTTGATGATGGGAGCATAGATATGCTGGACGTGGAGAAGGGTGTTTGGTCAGAGTATACCATCCCTTTTCAACATGGCGAAGCCCCTGAAGCTGAGGCTTCAACAAATGTGATTCCACCACGAGCAGTCAAGGAAAAGAGATCTGTAGCTGCTGGACTTGGTAAAATGTTTGGAGCTACTACTAGTATGGTTCGAAAATCTAAATCAACGTTACGACTTGACGCGGATGACAAGGATTTACCACCACCGCCACCTGAAAAGGACGATTATATGATTTCTTCACCGCCTGGATCGCCGATACCGTCGACTCCTACATCGCCGTCCTCAGCGCATAGGATTCATGGAATGCCGAGATCGCCTGTCACGTCAACGCCATCATCACCGAAAATAGTTAGGTCTGAGCACCAGAAGGTTGTATCTGTTGGCCTGAACCCGAGAGATAGAAACATGCTGCTTATTGTATACGCATCGGGCGGTATCGTGTTGTGGTCGATAAGTGAACGAAAAATTGTACGTAGAATTGAAGTCACTGAGAAATCAGTCGCTTGTTGGGCTCCTGATGGAAGTATGATTGTAAATAATGGAGTCATGCTGACTATATATGATGTCACGGCAGCTGGATTGTCGTCGACATTGTTTCGACGTGGCATGTCAGTTATATCTGAACATGTGATTATGGAAGGTGATACTGCCACACAAGAAGATGTGGTATTGAAAATATCGTGTATAGAGGACTCGAGCGTAGAAATAGGTGGGAGTATCGTTGTCGCTACGTGTATAGACGGGAGTATAAAAGTCATGAAGGCTTCTAAAGGATTGAAACAAGTGATATTATGTGTGCTGCCACCAACATCACCTATCGTATCTGCAACCGTATTGCCGCCGTTTACGAGTATGTCGAATGTGAATCAGGCGGCTTGTCTAGTTACGTTGACGAGTAGTGGGAATTTGCATGTCTATAGCCTTGATACGATGAAGAAGCTGTTTATGCCGGCTGGGTTTAGGATCACCGAGTTGTGTAGTATGGCACACTCGACTGTATCTGATATGAAAGATTTATCCAAAATGGCTGAAATGACAAACACGACGTCACTGCAGTTGAACGGTGGTATCTTGATATCGACGCTCACGAAGGGTAAAAGTGTTGCTGCACTAGCAGACGGACTCTCCCAAGTGCATCTGGCATTACTTTCATCACCAACACCGCAGTATATATGCCAATTCGATTTCCGACGGGTCATTCGATCCGAATCTCATATTACGAGCATATCACTGGATTTAGAACATGATCCTAAAAATATGATTCTCGTCGCATCGAATCAGGTTATTGTGTTGCAGTACTTGCCTGATGTCGTACAGCAAGATTTAGATGACATGATGAGTAAATTGGATGATACGTTAAATGAAGCGTTGAGAGAGTCTGAACAGGTTTCTCAGATGCTTCGAGAAGGACTTGCTGATGCTTACACTACACCACACAATGACGCAAGTATCGAAGCCGAATCGGTAGCAGTAACACCATCGCTCCCGCCATCAGGCTTTGAACAACTTTCAATGAACGATTTACAGCAGGATACTAGTGCACGTGTGTCAATTGAATCGTATACACCTAGCTCTGCTACACAGGTGCAGCTAGGGTGGTGGTTGTCTGCTAGGATGACACATAATGAGGATGTGGTGGCGCATCAGTCGTGCTGGTGGTTGGGGTTGATTGCTACAGGGAGTAGTGATGGCATGTTGATGTTGAGTGATTTGGGGAGGAGGGTTTGTGTTTATTCTGAGGCTGTTTATGGTATAAGAGAAGCTTATGAGGTTCGTTTTGTGTAATCATTGGTGACATTGGCTTCTGTTAGATTCGAATGATACGACGTCAAAGTCGACTGTAGCGCTGTTGAGGTTTTCGAATTGTAATTTCCCGCATGGTGAGTGCTTGTTGTGGAAGTCCAACTGTTTGGAGACCTCTACTGATACTCTTTTTCTCCTCTGCTCATAGAACAAACACCCTCACCATGCCTCCTCGTATTCACAACACGATCATCCCTCTGGCTATACTCACTCCGACGTACCGACACTACCATCGCAATCGGTAAATGCCTCCTCATCCCGCACTCCAACACCACCCCCATCTTCCTAACCGTCGTGAACGAATCTGGAAAAGTCGTGACCGAAACATCGTTAGCTGATAGGGAGAAATCAACCCATTACGTGATTGCAGTAACCTCATCGTCGATATCTGTGGTGGAATTGGTGGTTAATGGTGCACCGACACAGACTATTAATCGTGCAATTACTGGGACTGTTGTTACTGCTGGGATATCGATGTTTAGAGAAAAGCATGCGTGTCTTGTGTGTGTTACTAGTGAGGGGAGCGCGCAGGTGTGGAGTTTGCCGGATGTTGTGTTGGAGTTTGAGAGGGAGGTTGAATGTGATGGGTAAGTTTTAGCAGTTGGACAGTAGTTTTTTTTGTTCGTTTGGTTGCAAAAGCAAGAGGTACAGTGTTGCTGAAGCACAAGGACTGACTATTTCTTCACAAACCACTCTTTATTAGGCATTTTGAAACTGCCATGATTCTCTCTGATGCTCGTATTGTGCTTCAGTCTGCTGGAAGGGAGATTACAGTCATCAGCTTGTCTGGAGATGTCGCAAGGTAAACAATGCGACGGGAAAGCCATGAGTTTCTCGTTTCTCTGTTGTTTTCTCATCGCTCTAACCCCGACTTTCAAACCATAACAGAGGGCCAAAGACAGATCTACGAATCCACGACTCTCTCAAACAACATTACTGGTTGAATGCTCAACGTGATGCTGGCAAGGCGTCGAGCAAGGATATCGATGACTTGTGTAAGTCTCAGCTGCAAAACAAGCACCTGATGATACCTCATCTAACATTTGTTTTAGTTGAAGGACGAAGATCACGCCTACGTGACCCTGACCCCGATACATCATCATCATCATCGTCTTCAGCTGGAGGAGCATTTGGAGCTGCCAAAGAGGCACTCGCACAGCGAGGCGAGAAGCTCGATCATATGAATATCAAGACTGGTCAGTTGGAGAGCTCCGCAGGTGATTTTTTGGCGAATATTAAAGAGTATAATAAGAGGATGGAGAATAAGAAATGGTGGGAGTTGTGAATATGTATTGTATGGAGAAGAAGTGGACATCTTTCATGAATATAAGGACCTCATGTAGAAAGTGAATACATGTGAGTGTGGTGGTGTCTTTTGTGTTGAGATGGAGGAAGGGTTCGTAATTGTTTGGATACGGTTGGCAAGTCAAAGTAAGTTGTGTTTTAAACACAGAGCATTCAGTACTGTGACCATTTTTGCATAACATTTGACTAACGAACTTAAGCTCATTTTTACAATTAGACTGCAGCGACGGAGCAAGTTGTGTCATCACGTTCATTGAGGTGCTGAGAGAGTCTGAAAAGGTGGTTTAGATGTTGAAAGAAGGGCTTTGCTGATACTCATACCACAACACGTACAAGTATCAAGATCGAGTGAACCCCATCACGACCACTATCAGCAGTCGGACAAACATTGAATGATTTGCGACAAGGTAAAAACGCAACTGTATCGTTTTGCTTCGTCGATGGTGTGAGTTTGCTGTAAGAGGATACTGTTGTGCATCACTGGTGTTTGGTGGTTCATATTAATTCAAAGGAACCATACCTCTTATTATCGAAGTCCTCGCCCACAAAATCCCCGATGAAGCTGCTGCAAAGCTACCTCGAGGTGAACGTATGTTTGAGGAGATATAAGCCCCAACTAGGTCTCTATAAAAGTAACTGGTACTGTTGCACGATATTAAATTTTGCCCAAGTTGATTGAACAGAAGACTCCGAGGCTACTGCATCCGATGTCGGGCCTGAAGCAGTCAATGTAGAATATATGACTGCTCTACTCGAATGGTCTTCAGAAGCTTGTGCCTTTGCCAAAGTATTTACGGAAGGGACCAGGGTTTCAGGTGTTCGTGGTTGGCACGCTACCACCTAGTGTAGCAGGTACTTATCGTATCTGTGCTGTCGCACTCGCCTCAAAGCACAGACATGTCGAAGGTTAAAAAAAGGTAGATTTGCTGGAAGTTTGATCAACGCCCTCGTCTTCATTATTGTGATTTCATTCTGTTGATCTGATTTTGTTTTGTTTATTGGTAAGGCCAAAACGAGCTCTAATATGTATATTTACAGATGTATGTGTAGTAAAGACAGGATAAAATTCCGTTAGAGTCTTTTGATCAGGTTGAAGCTCTGTAAATGTTTTTCGGTATTGAATTGTAACTTTGACGCGATTTGCAGCATAAGTACGAGTTGAAGAAGGGAGATATCAGTCTTTGCAGATTGTACGATAGAGCACAAATATCCAGCAAATTCTAATGGCGTCGCATGCTCTTCTTCTTGCACAACTTTTCTTTCCAATCATCGAAATGCCAGGACGGTATGATTCGAGTTCTGGGACCCAAGACCTGAATTTCCTCGAGTTTGCAGGAGACACTCAGGCCTCGCAATACGATTATACCGACTTTACAGCTCCATCACAGCAGCAGTCATCACAATCGCAACAACGTAAATTCAAAAACGTCCATCCCAGTCAGCAAACCGAAGACGATGACGATGATGTAGATGCTTCTATTGGATTACCGTCTTTATCTCTGTCTTCGCAGCCTAGTCAGGTAGCTCATGCCCAACATCAACATGTGGTGAAAGCATCGAGAGCTACGGAAGAATACGAGAACAACATCCACGGAGAGCAGCTGGCGTTTGAAGAGCCTGATGCTGATGGTCTAGAGGGAGACTACAATGCTCAGGATTTGCCTGATCATGCTTGCAAGTAAGATGTTTTGACAGCTTACGTGTATTTTTGGATAAACAGTCGCTCTGACACCCTTTTTATATCAGATACTGCGGCATCCACTCGCCATCATCAGTAGTCAAGTGCATACCATGCTCGAAATGGTTTTGTAACTCGAGAGGCAAGATATCGGGCTCACATATCATCAATCACTTGGTACGAGCCAAACATAAGGAGGTCTCGTTGCATCCTGAATCACCGCTAGGTGAAACGGTGCTAGAGTGCTATAATTGTGGGTCTCGCAATGTGTTTTTGCTAGGCTTTATACCTGCCAAGTCGGATACTGTTGTTGTTTTGCTTTGCAGGTATAGTTTCAACAAGTCCCAAAGATTTGATGTAGTTCATGAACCGTTCATGAGCCCGAAATCTATCAGAACCTGGATATTCATCTTCTTTCTGCATGTATAGACAACCATGTGCGTCAGCTCCAAGCTCAAAGGACATGACATGGGACTTGGCTCAATGGCTGCCATTGATTGATGACAAGTGCTTCCTACCTTGGCTGGTCAAAGTACCTACAGACCGAGAGCAGATGCGTGCGAGACAAATCACGAATGCTCAGATTGCCAAATTGGAGGAATTGTGGAAGGACAATGGGAGTGCTACTGTTGAAGACTTGGAACGCCCTGGTGTTGATGATGAGCCTTTACAGGTCTTGTTGAGGTATATATGGTGCTGTGGTGTTGACTCGCACTTCATTTTAACGCTTCACCAAATCTGGCTTTTTTTTGTTGCTCGCAATACTTAGATACGATGACGCGTACCAATACCAAAACATATATGGACCACTTGTAAAAATGGAAGCTGACACGGATCGTCGTCTCAAAGAATCACAGACTCAAGAAGATGTGGTGGTTCGTTGGGATATGGGTCTTAATATGAAGCGAGTCGCACATTTCGTATTGCCCAAATTGGAACAAGGTGAAATTCGTTTGGCTGTTGGCGATGAGATTATATTGAAGTATCGTGGTGAGCTTCATGCTCCTTGGGAGGATGCTGGTCCTGTGATTAAGATTCCAAACAGTGAGTTGATTTGAATGTTTATGTTTCCTTTATGCGTCTTGTCATGTTTGGCTGAACAAGTTTTCTTCCAATATAGACTTGTCCGATGAAGTAGCGTTGGAATTACGAAAGAATGATAATGTACCTACTGATTGTACTCATGGTTTCACGGTTGACTTTGTGTGGAAGTCTACTTCGTATGATCGGTAAGACCTGACTGTCATATTACTCTGACTCGATGCCTTTTGGCTCACTAAACTTTCATTTTTAAGAATGCAAAATGCCATGAAGAGGTTTGCAGTAGATCAAAACTCGGTCAGTGCTTACATATATCATCGTCTCTTGGGCCATGATGTCGAACCACAATCTCTACATGCCCAAATGCCTAAACGATTCTCTGCTCCCAATCTTCCTGAACTGAATCATTCTCAAGTATTTGCTGTCAAGAGTGTCTTGACGAAGCCTTTGAGTTTGATTCAGGGTAAGCGAAAAAAACTCACGAGTTGATGTCAAGTGCTTTTCTCACAATTGTTGCTTCTAGGTCCTCCTGGTACAGGAAAGACAGTCACATCAGCCACTATAGTGTACCACTTGGCCAAAATGAATATATCAGGTCAAATATTGGTCTGTGCTCCGTCAAACGTCGCAGTGGACCAATTGACTGAAAAGATTCATCGAACTGGACTGAAAGTCGTTCGAGTGACTGCCAAGTCTAGAGAAGCTCTAGATTCATCAGTCGATTTCTTGACTCTTCATGAGCAAGTACGAAATAATGATAGTATGCCTGAATTGCAAAAGTTGTCTCGACTTCGAGATGAATTGGGTGAATTGTCATCAGCTGATGAAAAGAGATACAAGACATTACGTCGCACTGCAGAAAGGGATATCTTATCTGTAGCTGATGTCATATGTACCACTTGTGTTGGAGCTGGAGATGTACGAATGTCTAAATTGACCTTCCGTACAATTCTGGTAGACGAATCGACACAGGCTGCTGAACCAGAATGTCTTATACCACTGGTATTAGGCGCTCGTCAAGCCATTCTTGTAGGTGATCATCAACAGTTGGGACCGGTAATCATATCCAAAAAAGCTGCCAAGGCAGGATTATCACAGTCTCTCTTTGAACGACTTGTATTGTTGGGTGTGCGACCCATTCGTTTACAAGTACAATACCGTATGCATCCATGTTTGAGTGAGTTTCCGTCAAACATGTTTTACGAAGGATCTCTACAAAATGGTGTAACAGCACAGGAACGTATAAGACCCTCGATTGACTTCCCATGGCCAGAATTAGAAACTCCCATGATGTTTCATTGCTCGTTTGGACAGGAAGAAATCTCATCATCTGGTACATCATATCTAAATCGTACTGAAGCTGCCAATGTCGAAAAAGTTGTGACGAGGTTGCTAAAAGCTGGTATAACACCATCGCAAATTGGTGTGATTACGCCATATGAAGGACAGAGATCGTATGTTGTACAACATATGCAGTTTGCTGGTAGTTTACGACGTGAATTGTATAAGGAGATTGAAGTTGCTTCTGTGGATGCCTTCCAGGGACGAGAAAAGGACTATATCGTAGTATCATGTGTCCGATCGAATGAACACCAAGGTATTGGATTCTTGAATGATCCACGACGTCTCAATGTAGCATTGACGAGAGCCAAATATGGAGTTGTTATATTGGGAAACCCCAAAGTATTGTCGAGACATCCATTGTGGTATCAGCTGTTGGTCATGTATAAGGAGAAGGGATGTCTTGTTGAGGGTCCGTTGAGTAATTTGAAGATATCGCAGATTCAGTTGATGAAGCCTCGACCACGTAAAGATTTCAATAATGGAGAGTATGGATTGGCTGGAGCTTCGAGTCGACGATTTGTGGTTGATGCTAAAGAGCATTTTGCAAAAGCGCCTTCTGCTCAAGACTGTAAGCCATCATTCGATTGCACCGTCTTTTTTTGTTTTTGTTGTACGAATCCAACTGACATTTAATACTTCAATAGTTCCACGAGGCAGTCCATACCCACCACCACAGCAACAACAACGCTTCAACGCATTCGATAATCCATTAGCATATATAGATCCCAACCGTGTCATATCGCAATCCCAAACCTTCCTCCCAGCACCTCCCATGTCGATACCCTTTTCACAAGCATCCATGACTTCAGGAATGACGATGGACTTCCCACCTCTTGGTACTCAAAACCTGGGTAATATTAGGTCACAGGCTCCCATGTCGTCTTCAGCCTTCTCGCAACTACCGTTTACACAATCACAACAGACGTATTCGCAGTATGATCGGATTAGTGCTGGTGGTGATGTAAATGGTGGTGGTAGCAGTAGTAAAGGAGGAGGAAATCAACGTGGAGGGAATGATGATTATGCTTTGGAAGACTACAAGTCGCAGCAGGAGTGGATGGTTAGTCAGGGTGGTGCTAGTGGGCCTGTATCTCAAGGAGGCTTTACGCAATATTGAAAATGCTGTAAGAGTCAATACGGACGCTTTGGAAGAGGCCTTGAATCGAGTCTCGCTTTTCAGAGTTTTCTTTGAGTGCTCTTGAGGGCTGTTCTCGGACTTCTCTGCTGCTCAATTAATGGAAGAAGAATATATGATCAAACCGGCGCACACAATGGAAATATATTTTTTAGCCATAGTAAGAAGCAATTTCCCAAAAAATAGAGTCTAGTTCTTTTATATTGCAAACCTTAAATTTGTGTTCATGTGTTTTGTTGTTGTGAGGTACTTGTTATGGCTACAGTGGATGGAATAAAGTTGCATGTAAGTTCAGCGCGATGCAGCGATGCATATGTAATGATTCTCTTTGTTTGCTTTGGTTTGTTAAAAAGGTTGTTGCATCTTGAGATCTAACAACTTTGCTACAAACTTGTTTTTATTGTAGATCGGAAGCTGGCTAGTCCTAACGTCCCCAAGTCACACCGAACAAGCAATCTACATTGGCACCACCTGCCTGAACTGCCGTTCCCCACCTGCATTACCATGCATCAACCACACATGCATCGCAAACCCCGAAACGATCTGCCTGAACTCAAACCGCACATACGACATAATCACCCATGCAGTCGTAATCGCAAACGCTATAACGCATGTCCGGTGTCCTCCAAAATCGAGTGGACCGGCTGTGAGGGTTGAATCGCTGGCGAGTGTGTTGGGACAGTATGGTGTTAAGGTGCAAAAGTACCCAAAGAAGACATATGTTGTGTCTGATGATGGGATTAGAGCGAATGCGCTGAGTAGGCTCGACATGGGGAGGCTTCTTGGACTACCGTGTCCTGTGAGTTGTATACACTGACCTTTCGTCATTGTTATTATCAACTGTTTCTGACTGTTTTTGGGTTCATTAGTGGATGGACGCCGACGCTGCTGGCAAGGCATGGGTCATGTGGTGCTTGACTGGGTGGTGTGTGAATGGGACGAGTTTTAAAGTTAGGAGACCTGTGCCTGGTGATGTCATTTATAAAAGGTTTAGTGGAGTTTGGGGGGAGAAGATTGATAATGATCAGATGCAACGTGAGTTGGATCGGCGAATTGTGCCTATAGCCTTTTTTTTTCTGCATCACGTATACTTAACGATATCTCTTTTTACTTGTTTTAGAGTTGAAGAAGATTGGATTTGGTACGTGACAGCTTCCTTTGCTGATTCAATGCTTATAAACTAATGCTATTCTGAATATTAGCATTACGACACTGGTGCATATACGTTGGAACATGCTGCGTATTCTGTGCCCTATTCCCAATCTCCAGTGAACCAAACTCACACAAACCATGGTTTCCAATCCATACACAGCACCTCCTCGTCTGCCCGCACTGCAAACACCCTCTGCAACCAAACATGGTGCTAGACCGTCTCAACGAATGGACGAATTTCCCCGACGCCGTCGAACCTGATCCGAAACGGAAATTCTGTGTTCGTCTAACGACGTTGGATTCTTTTCTTATTGCTGATCAGTACGTGTATCTTGATAACCGGATTTGTGGGAAGGATAACGCGGGCAGAGGAACGATCAGGGCCATCAAGAGTATGGGGACCAAGTGGAGGAGAAAATGGAGGCCTGATTCTGTTCCTGATGGAGTGGATTGGACGTTGAGAAGAGCATTTGGGGAGTTGTGGAGGTTGAAGTTTCCTGAAGGAGAGGGGTATAATATGATTAGGAATTCTTGTGAAGTACGTACAATGTTGCTCATACCTTCTTTGTCGCTGTGCTTACGTTTTCTTTTGCAGCATTTTGTTAGGTGGTGTCAGACAGGCGAGTTTCCCCATTCTGATTTTCTGTTGCTCAAGAGCTCCAAGGTAAAAAAAATCCATCGTCATCCCAAGCTCATACCTACACAGATATCTCACCCAATCTTCAAAGGTCATGGCAATAACCGGTGCAGCTATAGGCATAACCATTGGGATCGCATGGCGGCATCACAACTACACTCACGACATAATGCCACGTGCAACGATATCAGACATCATCTTGCCGGTTCTCAGCGCGCTTACATTCGCTGCTATATGTGGCTGTATGGCACACTACCTCGCAAACAAGTATCTAGAAAGCGAGGAGTCGCTGCCTGTGCCTGATCCTACTGAGGACGCTGGATCGGCAAAGGAGAGGATACGGAGTGATAGGGCGTTGTTGGAGAGGTTTTTTGATGATTATGGGTTGAGGTAAGACAGTTGAGTTGTCTTGTGATGCAGAGCTAAGTCCGGTTATGACGCAATACGTTGAAAATTCTATTCATTTTTTTTTGTTGCTAGTTTGCAGATGTATAGTCATGAACATTGGAAGCATGTTTCCTGAGTTTATGGAAGCGGACTGAATTCATTGATGGATGTAAGGTGAGCGAAATATTAAGTGTGAGGCCATTTGATGCCTATACTCAGACTCTATTACGACGTTTTTCCTCTAGTTCTCAGATGTACAGTTACGAGCATTTGAAGAATGTTTCGTGAGGTCACGATGTGGATAGATGGAAATGATAGAATTTCTCACTTTTAACATTTATATATTGGAATACCATATTTTATACCTACCTCAACATTCTGCCAACAGTTTGTAAGTGTGCCTGTAATGGCGTTGAAGTTAGCAGGTCGGTGCCGGGTGGTGTTATTTAGAAGAAGCCTGGTGGAATTTGGCTGGAGGTGCTTAATGCAGATCAGATGCAGCGTGAGTACTTCGTGGAAATCAGGTACGCAATTGGTGATGACCACTAAAACGTCTTTTGCTAAGTTTGTTAGAATGGAAGCAGATTTAATTTTGTAAACACGTTGAAGTGCTTTCTCGTTATTCTCGTTACAGCCATTCCTCTCATCACTAACATCATCTCCGTCTAATACGACAATTCTGCATCCGCGGGAAGTGTCGTCTTCTGTGCCTTATTCCCGATCTCAGACGGCAGCAGCAATCACAAACCATGGTGCTAGATCCTTTCAACCAATGAACAAACTCAGACGCTTTTGAAGTGATACCAACCGCAATTCTGGATTGTGGGTCAAATCAGCTAGTATATGCCATCTTTTATTGACGTACAACCTTTGCCAGATGCTGTTAGACGCCGGTGCTAAGAGTGACCTGATAGTCCAGGGAAGGTCGTGCTTACACGTGGCAGCGTTTTGTCGGCCATTATACGAGTCCTTGCAAAGTCATGACTTGGCCCGTCTCTTATTGTTTTACAATGTTGATCTTTACGATGTAGCTTAAGGTGGAAACGTAGCCCTCCAACTTGGTATAAGCATGAGAACTACTCATCTGGTTTGTAGAACCAGGAGCTCGTCCCGATGTATCGAACACTTGTCTTCATGAAGCTCTAAGCCAGCTTACAGCAGGAATGTTCAGACTCTTTATGGATAAGAGCGCTAGTGAAGAGGCTGCGAATGGAGAAGAAATGACGCCTTTAGATGTTGTCATCGAGGAAGGGTTTGGTGATCTGGACTTGCTTGCTGTTGAAGTAACAACTGGTATATGGAATTGTAATCATCTGAATTCGTATTGATTTCCAAATATCTGAGGGATTTCTTGGTTGAGTATTCCATCGTAATGGAGTGGATCTGTCAAAGTATCCTTTTTTTAACAGTTTTATTATAACTGCTGGATAACTCCATCAGGAGAAACCGTGGGACAGATTAAAGTATAAGAATTACAGATATAATGTTATAAATTTAGCATTTTACAGTAAGAATGCGCGCCCCTTGACGCGAAGTATCCTGGCTCATAAGCGACTGTGTTTTTAGGTTTTCAGGTCTCATCACGTGTAACATGCCAGTAGAGTGGAACAACAGTAAATTATGTATAATTCAATAAGTAATACCCTCTTGTGTCTGTCATCTGTCGTGAAAGACGGTTTTTTCGTCAAACTCACATTTCGCGACTTGAAGGCAAGACAGCATCATCAAGTCAAAGCAAGTCAGACCAAGGCCACTAATCAATACCCAGCCACGTAAAATAGTATATTCCCTGATTTTACTTTTAGGTATCGGTCTCAATGGACGACTTCCAGGAAGATATGGTTTTGGAGGACGAAGAGGAGGCACAACCAGTAGCCAATAGTGTAGAAATGCAAATTATGAATACTTCTTCATCATCTGTGAATCGTGAACAGTCTCCGTTACTACCTTCAGTCCCTTCTTCTGCTCAAGTCGCATCGACATCAAATGTCAATGTTGATGATGATGCACAGTCAAAGTCAGTAGCAACAACGCAAGGAGGAATAGTAGGAGCAGATAATGTACAAAGTCATTACGCAGCAGCTCCTATAGATGGTCCTAGTAATACTAGTGTGGTTGTTACTGCGGGTGACGCCACTTCTCATTCCACGAATTCACCTCTTCCTCAGTCCAATCCATCCATCCCGACTACTAGCTCTACTATTCCTACTACACCGCCAGCATCCGATTCCGTAAACGTATTGTCCTCCACTAGTACTGATGCTACGATTCCCGCTGCTATTACTACCAATTCTCCAACTACTTCTTCAGCAGCTGTTGCAAACGATCCAAATAGTGCTGCTAATATGGCCATGTTGCAAGCTTGGTATGAACAGCAGCAGCAACAATGGATGGCCCCTGGTGCTGCAGCAACGCAATGGGCTGCGCCGTCCCAGCAGCAGCAATACAGTAATGGTGCTGAAGTACCGCCTGGTTATACGTATGATCCAGCGGCATATTATCAAGCATATGGACAGCAACAGTATCAGCAACAAAATCCTCCAGCTTGGCCTGGTGTTGCTCAAGGTGCTCAGCAACAACAACAGCAACAACAATCGTATAGTAATGTAACTCCATCGTCAGCATCGCCAAGTCAACAACAGGTACCACTACAATGGAATAATCTCCGTGGTGGCACGCGTGCTACCAATCCAGCAGGAAGTCGAGCACAACTTGATACAACGATCGACCATTCACAGTTCGGTGGCCCGTATACTGTTCATTATACATCGCCACCCAGTGAGTTTGCCAAAATACCTACCGGTTCTAGATTATTCATAGGCAACTTGGCTTCTGAAAAGACGTCTCGTGAAGATTTAGGCGATGTCTTTTCAAAGTATGGCAATATCAAGGAAGTCTTGATGAAGGCATCTTATGCATTCATCCAGTATGATAATCCCGATTCTTGTCGTACCTCCATTGCATATGAGCAGGGTCGGTTACTTGGTGGTCTTAATCTAGGTAGGTTGACAAATTCCAAAAAGTGAACAATGGCAAACATGGAAGCGTTGTTTTTGGGATGTACAAAGAAATGAGGGCTTCCTTCTTTTGTTATTGGTACTTGGGCAATCCTGTACAGAATGCTCTTTTCAAATCCCACACTGCCATTTCGCACAGAATGTCCCTCCAACCAGTTTCTCCTAATGAGCTCTTTGTGATGCAAAAGATTCATGTTTCACTCATACAAATCTTTTCTTTTTTCTTTCTCGCTATCTCGCAACTTTCTAGATTTGAAGCAGTCCAGTGATAAACCCGTCTTCAGTGGTACTCGTCGTGACACTCCCGATGAACCAAAACGTGCTCGAGAGTCCAGTGCCGACCATGAATTGAATCATCGCGGTCGTGGTGTAGGTCGTCCACCCGCTGATTCCTATGAGAGCTCTTCAGGTCCTGTGCGAACCAGTCGATTCTCTGCAGCACGAGATGATCGAAGTCCATACTCGTCATCATCATCATCAGCACGTGGTGGTAGTAGTACGTCAACTCGTGGTAGCAGATTCGATGACGATGATAGACAGTATGGCAGAAGGCCACCCTCTGATCGTGACTCTGCTGATCGTGATGTAAGAGGTGGTGGGGGTAGCAGCGGTATGTCTGGTGTACGTAGTAGCCGATTCTCGTCTCCTATTGATCCCATACCTAAACGATTCGGTGCCAAAGTTCCGGAAGTTCAGATACTTGCTCTTGGTGATGTAGACAAGTAAGTTCATTGGAATATGATACAACCTCCGTTTCGTGTATTTTCCTCCTCTCCCATCCCCCTGTTCAGTCAACATTCCAACAAAGCATTGAAACGAATCGCTTCCTATTTTAACTAGGAAATACATAAAGTCTGTTGAAACTATCGCCAAATCAGCAGGAATGACCATAGATGTTGTCTTCCTGTCACATACTACTGGTCTACGTCCTCTTGTTCAACAATTGACTGAAGAAGGTGTTTTGGCTGTAATATTTGTGGAAACGTATCATGAACGTGATCAGACCCTGTCTATGCAAATCTTGGGTGGTCCAAATGCTGCTACAGGTAATTCCACGAGATGGTTGTTTTTGCCTTTACTCTCACACTATCTGACAGCGTACTCTCTTTTTTATTAGAATACAATGGCGTCAGGGCTGTTACAACGCCTACTATACTCATGAGAGAACGTGCTGCTCGTAACACAGATCTGATTCAATCCACGAAAGGAGGAGGACACCAACAACCATCACCTCAGCAACAACAAATACAACATCAACATCAACAAATGTCACTTGCATCTCAACAAGTCCAACAAGCTTCATCACAAGCAGCTAATGCTGTGACGTCTGCCTTGTTGGCTGCTCTCCCTCCACAAGTGTTGGCTATGCTTCCAAACGGTGGCGCCCATCTGGATCAAGCTACTTTATTGGCTCTAGTAACTGCAAGTAGTGGTGGGAATGTAGCAGGAGGAGGAGTATTCAATCAGCCTCAACAGCAAGTACAACAGGTACAAACTATGCAAAGTATTCAACAGCAACAGCAGCAGCAGCAACAACAACAACAATATCTTCAACAGCAGGCATTGTTACAACAACAGCAACAGCAGCAACAACGACTATTGGCTGCTCAGCAATCAGTAATGGCAATGCAACCTAGCATGGGAATGCAAGCTGCTATGAACCCTATGGCTGGTATGAATATGCAAGGCGCTGGACCTGCAGCAGGATGGACTATGGGACATCAGCAGCAGCAACAGCAACATGTATATGGAGCTCAACCTCAGCAAGTGCAACAACATGCGCCTCACATAATGTCGCCGTTGAGTGCTATGAGTGTACAGCAACAACAAATAGCCCAGCAGCAACAGCAACCAAATAATGTAGGAGGAATGTTGGAGCAGTTGAAGCAATTGCAGGCCTTGCAGCAGTCATTGCAAGGTTCTGTACCAAAGTAAAACAAATAATGAATCGAGTTGGGTGTTTGCGAGTGTAGTATTGCATCTATATAGGATATATTGGTCGTTGCTCTATGGAATAAAATCACTCGCAACTGTTGTTAATTCTTTTATCAAACTGGAGGGGTTTTTCCTCAGTGCAACATGGCGAGTTTCAAAGATTTTATGGTACGTTCAACATTCGATCGTTCGTATTCTCGTGCCTTTGTGATCCTGAGAGTCCCTCACCTTAAACGATTGCTGTTTTCGCAATGTCTTTCTTTCTTTGTTAAACCCTCCGCTCTGTACATCGCCACAGTAAAGCTGTATTATAAGCGAGTGAACTATATAACTTGGTAAAGCTAATAGTGCCAAAACGAGCATAGTAGCTGTATCTCTTTTGAGCCTGATGCATATTCTAACCGTTCTGTACTATTAGAGTTTGTACATTACTTCGGAGGAGAAAACTTTATACATCACGAAGAAGACCAATACAGGAATTCTGGGCCCCAAAATCTGGCAAACATCTGAAAACAGATCCTTTGACTCTACTGCAGCCCCCCTTTACAATCTCCCTGGTGCAACACGGCACCATGCTCCGATTCCTCAAGCTCACCAAACTCACCTACCTCCTCGTCCTCGCCCTCTCACCAGCATGGGCCCAAACATACCCCATCTGCAACAGCGCATACATGGACATCCTAAACACCTCCTTCCAAACCACAAACGGAAAAGTAGCTGCTGCAACCACACCAGGTCTAAATAACGGAATCACGCTAACCATGATCAAAAACGTGTCCGATCCCACCGCATACCAGCCTACATCATGTGGGTTTGCAGCCACCCTGAAATCAGTGGGGCAGTTGCAGTACGGTGTCATGTCTATGAGGGTGAAGACCGCGAGTACGACGCCTGGTGTTGTCACGGCGTTTATATTGAGGAGTACGGATGGAGATGAGATTGATTGGGAGTGGGTTGGAGGGAATAAGTATCAGGCGCAGAGTAATTATTTTTGGAGGGGTGAGTCCTCAACGTTTTAGAAACGTGTTTTGGATTTCAATTTGCAAGGTGTTCATTTTTTTGCAATGTGTACTTAGGAAATCAATCCAATTTCGGAAACTCGGGATACCATAATAACTTGTCTGATACCACTGTTACGGCCTACACATATACCATTGAGTGGACGAATGCGTACATCAGGTATGCCTCCCAACCATTTTGGTGTTTGCCCCAATCATTTTACCTCTACCAACGAATTTTTTTCTCTAGATGGTGGATTGACGACAAGCTCTACCGCACAGTGGCATTCCAAGACACACGAGGCCAATTCCCAACATCGCTCGCAAATGTCGAACTAGGCGTATGGGATGGCGGGTGCTCACAGCTCGGTGTGCGGAACTGGGCTGGTGGAATAGTTCCTAATGGAGTCTATTCTGCTACGATGGATTCATTCAAGGCCTGTAACTTTGTGCCTAGTAATGGGACTGGTAATGGAACGTTTGTTGCGATTCCACAGTGGGCTTCGACGTATGTGCTAAATGGAGGGCTTAGGGTGATGGAGGTCTCGATGTATTTGGTTGGGGTGGTCGTCGTTTTGGTGGGTGTTGTGCTGCTTGGTTGATTTTGGACTGGAAGAGTATTATAATTATGTTGCTTTCTTGTTTCGTGGCTCGGAAATTAGTCTCGCTCCGCTGGATTCGGTTTTGAGATGATCTATATATCCATTAATAATTGGACCTTATTTCGATTTGGTTGGCTTTATACAATGCAACCAAGGCACTATCATCAATTATCAATGTACCACCATTACTTCATTGTACAAGTCAAGTTAATAGCAAATATAGTGATAGTTACACCAGTCGACAAAGTGTTTTGGATGAAAGCATTGTCTTCGGTGTCACATGGACTCACTGAACGCTTGTCAAGTACTTTGAAGGAGGCAATGAATTCAGGATGAAGGCATGGAATGACAACTTGTCGCACTTGGAAGGTGTAGAAAATGTATACCTGTCTCAGTATGAGGTGTCTCCTGCTGCCAAAGACGTCTTTGTGAGTGAGTATCGCTGGTTTGAGGCAAGTTTTGTCACATTATCTGAAGGTAGGATGCACGGAATTCTTGGAACGTTTTGGTGAATTCACGGATTTAACTGTATGCAGAAAGCAGTCCGATGCTTTTTCTGCTTTGTACGTGTGCTCTGAGTCTCTAATTCTTTACCATTCTGTTTGCTTTTGAGCTCAAACACACTTCATTTGCAATATAGACGCGAATACACGGCCGCAATGGAAGCTCTGTTCACGGAGAAATGGCGGCTGTATTGACCATACGACACTCTTAGCCTACAAGCAGTATTTGGTATACTTGTAATCACCAAGTCGACACATTTCTTTATGTAGCCAGCACTGGTAGTGCCCAGGCATGTCAAGGCAGAGTTCCGAGTAAATTGCCTAGAAAGGCATTGGTGGTTGAGCAAAAAAAACCGTACTAGGAGTGGAGGAATTCTTTACCAGAGGATGACAGACTTCAACAGTTCGGTCACATTCGCAACCATCTACAAGATTGGGAGAAACGTTGAATGGACAGCGTTGTTGAGTGAACCATGTTGTCAAGTTTCCCAAGGTTGCATTTGATGCTTACACATTTCAGGCATTTCATCACAGATTGAATCAGCCTCAAGTTGTACCATTGCAGTGATGGGAATGCCAACACTGGAGCTCGAGACTTGGTCCAATACCTGTTGGACAACACTACCCGGTCCAGAGAGTTGCAACCAGTTGTTGCAACCTGCATGAGAATTGACAGCTCCATCTAAACCCGTCGACGATGTCAGACGCGACAAAGAGACGACGATCGTTCTAATGCCTACCAGCACAAGCAGCATTCAACTGCAAAATTGGATTGCAAAGTCTTTCTGACTTAAGGTCTTTTGCTGAAAGTAGTTGACAGGTGAGTGAAATTTGCTGTACATAGCAATGTTGACTTTGAAGCCCACCTTTGCAAGACACGTACAAGTCACACGCAACAGCAGACTTGCCAACACAGATTCGTTCCAAATCATCGGATGCAGACGCAACAGGATACTAGACACATTTTGACAGTTAGTATAAAATGTCTTAAACACGTAATTTCAAGTGTAAATCAAGTTCTTTTACATCCATAATTCGTAACTGAATTCAATATAACTTAATAACAGTAGATTGTCATACATGGAAGGTCTTGCATTGTGCATTCCAAGGTTCTTGAAAGCAGTTCAAGGCATGAGAGACATGAATGACCATGCTAACAAGCAATACTGGTAGAAATAGCATGTTGTTTATGTCTTGATTGCCTCCCAGTATGGCGATCGATAGGAGAGTTCTTCAGCTTACGATGGGTTGAATGTGTGTTGGAGTTTTGAGGGAGGTTGGCTTGTGTGACTTTTACATTTTCCACAATCTGACGAAGAAGTATGGAGACGCAGTCTCTTAAAGTCCCAATAATAGAACTGGGAGAACCGAGGGCGAGCTTTGATAGTACTGCCAGGAGTTCCACAGTACCTTCAGCCGTTTACAATGGTCCAAAATGGAGACAATTGGCGTCCAAAACATTACTTCAGGACTTATTTGGCATTCGTTCCGCCAATGAAGGCCATGATTCTACACAGCCGATTCCGAAAAGTAAGGATCTGTTTCCTTGAAACTTGATTTGGAAGTAGTATCTCAGGTTGTTTGTTTTTCAGATATGGATATTGTCCATTTTATGGATGATCAGTCGGTTCGAGATCGAATGTATGTCAAAGGATCTCCAGCTAGAGCTGCCATTGACGGAGATTTGGATGCGTAAGTCCTCATTTTGGGGTTGGATATGGTGCATCCTTGTTACTGAACGCATGGTGGTTTTATTGATTGTAAAGGCTGAAGGCACACGTCGAACAGGACAGCAACATTCTGTTTTCGCTGCCTGGTACGTGTATCTTTATGGAGAGCTTGTCTTCACGGACGCTGAACGAGAAACCCTCATAGGAGTAACATTGCTCCATATGGCGCTATTCAAAGGAAGCTCAAACGCAGACTGTGCCAAATACTTGATCAAGGAGCACGGACAGCGCAGGTAATCAAAATTTTAAACGATGTCAAGCCATTTTAATCACCTCTTTCTCTATAGGGATCGGCATGGTATTCGGCTAGTGGACGCTACAATGACTTCACGAGTATTCACAGGACAAACAGCAGCACATTGCGCATGTTTGCTCAAATCTGAAGAAGATGCAGTTGCAATACTCTATGCTTTACATGAAGCAGGTGTTGATTTCCAGAGTAGTAGGTGCACGGGAGAAATGTATACTTCAGAAGTCGAAATTGGGCAATCTGTGCTAGCTTTTGCTGCCACGTCGGGCAAGCTGCGAGCTGTAGAGTTCTTACTGAGTAGAGGGTGTGATGTTAATGGCGATGAAGGTGATGGGAGTACTGTTTTGCATTACGCGGTGAGTTGACCAAGCAGTCTTTGGTTGAAACCCAAAATTGGTATGGCTGCTCAGCCTGTTTTTGTTTATAGCTTCGATGGAGAGATTTAGAAATGTACAGGTTTCTTGTAACGAATGGTGGTATACCGGTGCGAAATCATGCAGGTTACTCTCCATTCTTGGTTGCTGTCGATCAAGGCGATTATGACACTGTGTCTGCATTGTTATCAGGTCAGCAAAAAGCCCATATGTAGTATTTCATGATTACAAGCTTCCGTAAAACTCACTATTCTTACGCAACTGCCTTGATAGATCAGAAACTAGAGCTATGGAGAGTTGGAAAGGTCGTGCGGAACTTGTACCCAATCGAAGAGATAGACCCGGCACTCTGTCATCCACAAATCTCAGCGTTGGAAATCATTGACAAGAAACGAGACGCTAAACTAGCTTCACACCCTGTGTTTGAAGCATGCTTACTAGCTAAATGGAAGCATCGTACGTGGTCAAGCGTCAATGATTTGGGAGTATTTGAACTCACGCGTACACTCATGATTAGATGCACACAGACTCGAATTCACGACGTTCATCATCCATGCCTCGTATTTAGCATGTGTCCTTTCGGCACTCCAATTACTTCCATCAGACGACGATGGAAACTTAAGATTTGACTATGGAGGAACAAACTGGGCTCGATTGCCGCTAGAGCTTATTACAGTTTCTGGTGCAATAGTTATGCTTTTCTATGATTTGCTGTTGCAAGGGTTTGAGAGATACATCAAACTTGTTTATGCTATTTTCCAACCTGGATGGGAGGTAAGAAGAATGCAGCAAAACCAAATATGAAGCATTGGATAGAATGTTTTTTTTTGGTTTTACTTTTAGATTGGATTCTTCAAAGTGCTCTATGGCTCGTGTGTTATCGCAGCGCTCATATGTCGATGTGCACAAGCGTATCAAGCTGAAACTATCATTTGTTCTATTGGAATAGTCGTTGGGTGCTTACAATTAGTACCCTCCATTCATCTTCATGTGCATCTGCGTCTGACATGTCATTCAATTTCTAGATTCTTTACACTACTGTCATACGGCTACATATCTCGTCGCTTCGGAACACTGATTGCCATCTTGTCAAGAGTGATTGTCAGAGATGTTGGAAGCTGGCTGGGTCTCTACTCGCTATTCTGGTTTAGCTTCTCGAATGCCTTTTCGCTAATCATGAAGGATGTCGATGGGTTTGGAACACTTGAAACATGCATGCTAAAGACATTCTTGATTACATTGGGGATTTATAACTATGGATCTTATAGCAACGCCTCGCCTTTTGCTACGATTCTATTCGTTGCTTATTGTGAGTGTTACACAGAATTTGAAACAAGGTTTATGGGGATAATTTAACGCCTTTTCATAAACATAGTGTTTCTGACGGTGATATTGCTCATCAACCTGCTCATTGCGATGCTATCAAGCACTTTGAATATTATGTAAGTTCACGTGAGCAAACATTGGTTTGGTCTGGAGATCTGCTTGCAACCCACCAAGCTGGTTTCTGCACAAAGCGCACAAAGCGGAGATATGACACAGATCATCGAGTCCAAAATCCGAGACGGCGAAGAAAAAAACACAGCTAACCTATCCGCAATATATCATATGTGTAGATATGGCGAGTCGGTCTTGACCTGGAGGCTACGAATGTTGTCGACCATATTTCATCTGGAAAACGGGTTGATGAATTGGGGTGCACGAGATCTGCTTTGCATTGGATGGGAGTTTGAGTCTCGAGCATTTGTGATGCTGCATCAGTATGAAGTGAGTCAAGGATTGAAAACAGTGGGTATCACATATGGCAACCCCGCATGTGAGATAGTATATGAACCGACAGTTTTTATATAAATTAATGCGAGCTTTGAATTGTATTGACTTTCAATGCGAAAGGTTGCGAAATCCCTCTGCTAGTCTTCAAGTTTGTGGATGATGTGGCACTTTGACTTGATTGTTATAGTTTTCCCAACATTCGCAACCCAAGCAAGCCAGGTTATACCGAAATCCGTCCTTGGTCTAGGTGTCTGCTCAGCCTTGATGATGATTGCTTCCCCCTTGCGCTTTTTCGGTTTCCATACTAATCCGCTCAGTTGGGCAACACACCCAGGCTACCTGTTCAGTCAAGTTGCTGCTGCCTATCCGATCATAACAGATTATAGCGGGCATCTGCTGTTGAGCTTATCCGATATCGTATACCCTAGACGGGTCAATCTCTCTCGCCTCCTCTTCCTTCCTCTTGGACAAGAGAGAAAATAGCTTTGCAGCATGGATATATCATCATTGCTCAACAATAGCGACGACAACGCTACGCTAGTGTTGCCTGCTCTGCCGCTGCTGCTTCCCGCTACTATATCCCCTCAGCATCACCATCATTCATCGTCATCACCAAGTCCAGTATCAGCCAGCCAACTACCAGTGCCAGTTTATGGCATCAAAAAGTGGAGTCAGGTCTTAAATCCCGCTGAGACGGATCCAACAAAGAAACGAAGACAACGAGGCTCTGCTTGTGAGACCTGTCGCAGGTATATCCACTGTACTTGCCTTGTTTTTGCATAATGCATTGGAGTTTGACAGCTTTGCATTGATCAACACCGAATATCGCCATACTAACATCTGATCTTCTACATCTATTCAATAGACGAAAACGAAGATGCGATGGAGCTCGCCCAATGTGTGGAAGCTGTAGCTCATCCTTCAAGAAAGGATCATGCAAATACAATGATACCACCACCACAACCCCAAGCGACAATAACAATAACAAGGCCTTCATCACAACATCATCATCCTCATCATCGTCGTCTAATGCCTCTATAATACCACAATACACATCTCCAGCACGTC